AATTTCAATAATGCTTGATTTTTGGCCTTTAAGAAGTGGGCCTGTCAAATGGATTGTATTGCTCATAGAACAATGGGAAAATCATTATTTCATAAAGCAGCCTTCCAGTCCCAATAAATTCAGCATTTCCGAATATTCCACTGTTGAGCAATGTCATTAGCCGTAACGCAATGGGTTATGGCGCAGCCATTTTCTAAGGACCCCTGTATGGTACTTGTTTCCCACCGCGTCCCACACTATCGCCACACACTTGCAAAGTTGTAGCGGCGTAGGAATTTAACTCGTGATAAAAAGGAGGATTCAAAAATAGACGAGATGGGTATACCGCACCCTTCTGCACAGTTCAGCCAATAACACATTCAGGTTGACACCATATCTTGAAGTGCGGCCGTTCTTAGCCAAGCTCTAAACATCAGTCACACAACCCTCAGCGGGCTGTGGATCCGTAACGCCTGCGACTACGGCCCTTGCGTTGCCGTTCGGCTGGGATGCAAGGGTAATCCGGCCCTTGCGTTGCCCTTCGGCTGGGTTGCAAGTGTAATCCGGCCCTTGCGTTGCCCTTCGGCTGGGATGCAAGTGTAATCCGGCCCTTGCGTTGCCCTTCGGCTGGGATGCAAGGGTAATCCGGACCTTGCGTTGCCGTTCGGCTGGGATGCAAGGGGAACTCAAGTCTGCGACACATTCTAGTGACTCATTTCAAATGTTGACGGTTATAAGTTTTAATGTAACTAATATATCGCTAGGCAGCTGGCTTATTCGTGCAATATCAGCCTTTTGCGAGCTCTTTTTTCACCGTAGTTAGAGATAGATCTTGTTTAAAGCTTGGATGGATGTGTGTTTTTGCGGTATGCGTTCATTCGGGAATATCCTTCAATGTTTGTGTCATCCCAATTGCACTGAAATGCACCAAGATGTCAATATATATCTGGTAATGTCGTACATTCTCCAATAAAGCCCTTCGGACCCGATTGATGTTACGGCACCTGAGCTGAAGTCGTGACATTGTCAAATGGAAAAGGCGCTTATTTGACCACAACTGAAGCGTCACCGAGCTAGCTCGCAAATGAGACACGAAAAGCGTTTGATGCACTTGAAGCTAGGACCCTGCAGTTAGATACTGAACAGAGCGGCAGTTCATTTACCCAGCGCTCGGCGGTCGGCAACCAGCCTTATGAATACAAAGCTTAGATGACCCGCGCTTCCTGCCGGGTCCATAACGCGTCTAGGCCATCGTTTATTCAACACCAGGGTGGTCCGGATTGGTGAAGCCGAAATGTTCACAAGTCGCATGCAAACGTAGCCTACACAAAACATAACTACGCCGGCTGGTATCGGCGCGCTCGGTAGCCGCCGAAAACGCCAGGAGCTCCCCGTGCGCCGGGCGTCTGGAGAACACTGTGCAAGCGTACCCGTGCGTTAGGCAGGTAGAGTGCAATATGGAGCCGCGCTCTGGTGCCCCGTAGAGCAGTGCCGGTGGGTGGCGGCGCACCCTGCAGCTGCAGGCCCTAGCTGTGGTGCCGTCGCCTGGCCCGTCGCTCTCACCTGGTAACGATCGGGCGGCCCGGGCCGTCGGCAAGGTGCATCTCTTGCCACTCCGACCGGCGACCTTTGGGACGCCAATTACGGCCCATAGAGCTGCACCGGCCGTCGGCCCAAAGCTGGCTCGGAGGGTCGTTAGGTGACGTCACATAGCTCGCACGCTGCAGCGGCTTCGAATGTCCGCTGTCGGAACGTGAAATGTGGCGCCATGGGTCCTCCAGGCGCCGCTATTTTTGAGGCGGTCGGCTGGTCGCAGTCAGCTCTCACTCGGGGTTGGGGGGTGGGTCGAGCGGGTTGCGGGGTTGTCTAAGACCTAGTGACGATGCGTCGGATCTAGTAAGCACGGGTGAAAAAGGGCCTTTTTTGTCACCGACAAAATTTGGACACGTCTCAACTGTCACCTGGAGCCAATTTTTCAGAAACCGTTCCAGTGTAACTCTAGATGCGGAGCACAACAATAAATGCAAATGAAATGGAGTGCGGCATGAAAATTAAACCTTTGTGTTTTGCGGGATCATTTGCACTTAAGCATCATTTGCTAGCCATCAGACACTGAGTGATGGTTGAATATAATTGAACAGACTTATGCGTCGTGGATGAATTTTCCCATTTTTATCATTTTATCCATCATGTTTCATTAATCATCACGCTAAGAGTTCAGCCGCATCAAAGCTAGTTTTGAGACTACACTCACGCCCCCAACTCTGACAAGAAATTTCGTGAAATCTGGATGACAAGCCGCTTAAAGTGCATTTTAGAGGCGGACTCACCTCTACGCGTGTTGCAAAACTGTATCGGTATAGCTCCACATCTACCGATAACATGTTAGTTACAAGCACCTGAAATAATATCACTTTTGGTTCTGTGACGTCATCTTACAATCAGCTGGAAGCATTGAAGACCTTTACTATTTTCGCATGAATATTACCTGCGCAGAATTTGTACTTTCTAACATGATACAACTAATTAATGCAAACATATACAATATTGGTATGAACAGATGCAAACGACATTTTTGAACACCTCTAACACCTTAATTTAACTCAATATATAACATGATGGCAACTAAGAGCGTTTTATCCCCCGCTTATCCACCGGTCAGAGCGCCAGATCTGAGCCGCGACCAGCAGCGTGAGAGGCCTACACCAGCGATGCTCGGCATCTTACCCCAAAGCCGCTGTTACTCTTAGCAGCAGAAAACCTTGGATGAATCCTTGACATGTGTCGCTCCAACGTCCTCCGTTCACTTCTGAAGCTGCAGGTCGGGTTTTTCCAAACAATAAGCTTCCGAGATCGGCAGGGCTTTGTAACGCCATTACCAGGCACGCCTTTAATGGCCGGCACTTGGAAAAGCTGCGCAGCGCCTTACGGAACTGACGATTGGCTGCGTTTTTCATGCCAGTTAGCTTCTCCCAGCTATAGCTTGTTAGCTTTTCACACATCCAACGGCAGCCCACAGCCTGCCACTGAACCAAATTCGTTACTGCGTGGGGCGCATTCGAGCCCGTCTGTCCCAAATGACACGACGCTTTTAAACTCTGTGGAGCCAGCTGACCTCATTCGCCGTTAGATGCTGTGGCCAGCCACAATTCTTACGACTAGTAGCAAGCTTAGTCATTTGGCTTTCTATGCTGTTGAGTATACGAGGTGAATCTTGGCTGAAAAGTCGGTGAGAAGCACAGATCTGAGGGGCAATGGAAGAGCATTGTGTCACCACTGATCTGTGACGTCAGCACTGATATAGTGTAGTTTGTAGTATATTTCTGTCATCTTCTTAAAACTATGCTGATTAAAGCTACTATATTTGGCAGCATCTTGTGGCTCAACTTACCCAAAGAGCGAAACACCAACGTTCCGACATGTGCTCTGCACAAGCCCACGCCGCAAGAATTAGCGAGTACCAACCAATGCTAAGTCACACACCAAGATAAGCTTTGTCTAGCTGGGATGGTATTTTGAAATATGGTCCGGTCTTTTGTAACTTGTTTACATTTCTGCAATTCTGTCACCAATGAACTCGCAAAAGTGCCGATTTTTGTCACCGATCATGTCCGGTAAATCAGAAGCTTTTTTCACCCGTGCTGGGAAGCCCCCAGGGTGGTCACAAGTTTAGGCTATTGGGACTTTTGGCATTCTGATCGGTGTGGCTCTGTCCCCGGCTCCGGGATCTGTCGCGGGAGCGCTGCAGCGGCTGATAACTTTTTCGGTTTGTTTGCGTTTTAATACTATGGGATCGCTTGTCATTGCTGATGCAACTTTCTTGTAACTAAAAGTATCGATTAGTCCAGAAGAGATTCAATCTCATTGTGATATAACCCATGCGGCTAACAGCCTCTTATATCTAGACGTTGCTTCGAACATTCGACTGATGTCGTCTAAAGCTGTTTTCACGTGGCCCACCCACCCCTTTAAGGTATGTGCCGCCAAATGAGGACGAGAAGCCTCTGGCTGTCAGCCACCGATTGGGCGGCACTGCTGAGCATGGCCACCCCCGCACCCGAATTACCCTCCCCCCACACGTGTCTCGTCCGGAAGAGCAGTGACGCACGAGCCTCGCAGAAGCCAAGAGCTTCGTAGCCAAAGTGGGAGCTTTAATGCCCCTGTTCGCCGTTTTACGCTGCGTTTGATTTTACGGTCGTGTATTTTTGCTGGCAGATGTTGTGTTTCTATTCCCACGACAAAACTTTACTGCAAAGCGGGGTCCTTGGCTGCACTGTATGGCCCGTGATCAAACGGAAAATTATCTTTAAAATCACCTTGCTTGTCTCTCAACTGCTTTTGAAGTCTGGAAATACATGCGTAAATCTGATCCTTTTACATGCATATCTATCCGAGTGTATATTTTCTTTGAATTTATTTGTGATTATACGGTCCGTCATTATAACATCACGCGAGCTAATCGTTGCGATTTCGTCACTTTTTGGAAATTTGACGGGCTCACACCACTCAGTCCACTGCATACATCATGAACCGGAGACAAAAGAAAAAGAAAACGGGCTGCTAGCTCCGCGGGTCACTTGACAATATCTGTATTCATTGTAAATAATGTTCTACGGCTGTCATATCTCCGTGGGCGATGCTGATTAGAAGTCCATATGCTGCAGATGCACACACACATACACACACACATACACATAGCTGTGCGATGGGCATGTCCGTTTTGTTCAGTTAATTGTTTGTTAATCGGGCATCGTAATATCGTAACATCGTAACATCGTCCGTGGCAGGACTCGCTCGAAGTCGTTGACCAGCACTAAAGCAGAGCAGCACTGACAACTGTATCCCACGTCTAGAAGATCATTAGCGACAGAATGGAAGTGAAAACATGGTTTGCACCAGCTGCATTGAACGTCCAACTGAATTTCCAGCTCTAGCATGCGTGTCTGTCTGTGGTCTGGATGCTGCATGGGCACTGGAAGCAATGAACTGAAAACTGAAGGTTCAGCGTCTTGCGATTTCAGGGACAATGAGAGCGGTAATATACTGGACAATCTCCTGTCCCGGATGGAGCAGTACGCCAACAACCTCGAGGCTCTCGTCGAAGAACGAACGGCCGACTACTTAGATGAAAAGCGCAAATGTGAAGAACTCCTGTACCAGCTCCTTCCGAAGTAAGTCAGCCGCCTAAACGCTGGTATATCAGATCTCCCTGGAGATCGTGTTCGGTGGGAACAATATCCGTTGCTTGCGAACGTAGAGTTCACGGTCTGACATTTCGGTGGGTCGGCCCGATGGCGCCTTCCAGCCAGGCTAGTGGTGCTGGCGGGGGCCGCTGGATTGCAGCCTGCAACTTGGTTGACAGCTTTAGGTTGACGTATTGACCCAATTTTCCCATTGTTTTGTCTCGTGGTTCGTCGTAGCAATTCACCCATCTGCCCAGAGATGATGGACATATGAATTTGGTTTTCAGAAGCCTTCTGGCTTTTGAACACCGCTATTGATGTGTAGGTGATATAAGCGTCGCATGTGGTCGTCGAGCTCTCACTCTGAACGAAGAAAGCACCCCATCTCCCCCTGAGCGAAGCCATCGCCACTGACTCCCGTCGCGCCGACAGAACTGCGACTCTGATTTGCTGTGAGCCGCGGCGGCTCTGGCTGAGCCGAGGGGCACCGCTGTCCGCGCCGAGCTGGCGCCGCCGGTCGGCCGGCCCGGCAGCGCCCTGCTCTTAGCCGGATTGGCGCCTGGCGCCGCTCACGCGTCCCGAAGCGCCGCTGCAGGCCGCTGCAGAGTCATTCATTAGCGGAACGCCGCTTTCAAGCGCAGGTCCCCCGCGGGAACCGGCCGCCGCCGGCGCTGGCGTGAGCGGTCGATAGGATCGTTGTGCATGGCAGGGTGACACCACTGGCGCACTGCTCACTGAAAGAAACAGACTTAAGAGGAAAGTGGCCAAACGGTGGTATTTCACGCAGTAAACAAAAACCTTGTGTGGAAATCCTTGATGGGATATACCCCTTTCAGTCAGTTTGCGGAATGCTGGGATCTCCTGTTTAGTCTGCTCGTGCGTGTGGTAGATCCTTTTGCTTCATTGCGATTTTATCTGAGAAAGTATTGTTGAAGGGGCCTGGAGTATTTTAACAACCTAATCGCAAGCAGTCGTTTGGACAAAAATAGGCCGAAATTGGTAGAAAGTGTCTCGGTCTGCTTGTTTGCTGTGAAAGCTATGGAGCCATTCAGGGTGGCGTCTGGTGATAATTGGCATTTATGGTAGAATGCTACATTTTCGGAAAGTGCCGTAGATACCAGCGATAGTCGTAGATGGCGGCTTCTTATTACGGCTGGAATGAAATAATTTGCCATCGTCTCTTCAAGGTCTTCAAGTAACTTGTCATTGTCTATTCATGGTCTTCCAGTAACTTGTCACTGCCTCTTCATGGTCTTCAAGTAACTTGTCATTATCTCTTCATCTTTCGGATGTCATAACGCAATTAGCGGAAGAATGGTTTTAAATTTCACCGACGTCCCGTCACACGACATTTCGTAAAAAGCATACGACGCTGGGGCCGGAATGACTTTTTTAAAGAAGTTGGCCGCTGTGAAGTTTCTGCCGTGGACCTCCGTTCTTGGACGGAAAGTGCGACTGCGATCTCGGTCCTGGCACGTTATTTTAGTGACCTCGTTTGATAATATGTGTTACCGAAACAGCTGGTGGCAACCACCAAATGACTTTGTGATTTTTCTTTACGTGGCCTTCATTCGTCTTTGACTCATTTGATTTCCCTCGAATGGTTTTCTCCTACGTTTGGTAATGTCCGTTCTGTAGATCGATCCGTCAGCGTAGACTACATCTCTTTTATCGATAGCAGACGCTCTCTGGGACCGTGCATATTTATCCATGCTATCTATGCTATACCGTACCGTCTTGATCTAAGTCACAAACCTGAATCGAAAACGTACAATACACCGCAAAGTTGGCTATAATGCGACAGAAAATCTTCTTTAGGTGAGCTGCAGATTTTAAAATCCATGAATACATAAGCGGCGTTGCTGATAAAGGTGATGGCCGTAGATGGTGGTTCCTTATTACGGCTGGGCTGAATGCACTTTCTGCAGTCTTTGTAATTTAACTGTCAACGGGATTTCAAAATTAAGCTGTATACGGGTTGGCAACCCGTAGATGACGGCCCGTAGATGTATGGGGGAGGGGGGGGGGGGAGGGTGGGGGGTGGGGGAGGTGCGTGCGCTGCACTGCTGCCGGGCTGCATGTTTGTGCGCTGCCGTCTGCATGCTGTCACGCCTCCCTACAAGAGCGAATTTTTACTGAGGAGCCAGTTGGTTAGCATACGAGCCAGATGATGTTAGCGCACGACTCGGCATGTTGTGACTCCGGTACACCCGACATCAACACGCACTCATGTGAGCCACACAGCTTGTCATGAAGCGGATGCCGGGGTATTGGTGGGATGATGGTCCGGTCAGGCACTATAAATGGCTTTCTCCCCACATATGGTTGTGCGCCCATAGCCATGGTGCCCCACCTCCACTCTTCAGACTGATGATAATATTTAGGACGAGCCCAAAGCGGAGCCACACGCATGACAATACGTCCCAAAGTGGCAGGGATCTACGCAACTGGCGAACAACATCGGAAACGGCCCCTCTAAATACTCACCCTGGGAGCCCCCTACCCCTCCCCCTCCCCCTCGACCTTCACACACAGGCTTCACGCATCCGGCGCCCCACCTGGACGGGCAACACGCGCTGTTTTCCCCCTCGGCATCGATCAACAGCAGGCGCCGCCCTGTTGTGGGCCGATCGGCAGGAGCGTCGGGCAGATCCCACACTTAGCCGCTGGGCCTAATGGTCGTGTTTGGTTCGGCGGGGGAGGAGGGCCTGACCATGGGCGGCTTGCTCGCCGTCCGCCGCCTTCGCCGGGAAGCTCCCACCGATCCTGGACGGGTGGCCGCAAAATGGGAGCCGTCGAAATGTATGTCTAAAATAGCTCAACCAGCTGATGGCTGACTGTAGGTGACCTGATGGTAAACAACCCGCGGTTTGTCTTGATGCCGAATGGTAGTTGTACATCTAAGCTTGTTAGCTGTAAGCTAAGCTTGTATATTTAAGCTTAAAATAATGGATGTTACCACATCCGGTTACCACATCCGTATAATAATATCCATACAGTTATGTGAAATATTCATATGATATCATATCACATCATGAATGTGACCATATATCATATGGACATATGCATATAATAACAATTGAATTTGATGATTGGCATGCAGTGGATCATGGGTGTACATTATGGCATATGTCTCTCGTCCCGTCGATGGCATGACCTGAGTATTTCGTACCGTCGATGGCATGACCTGAGTATTCGTACCGTCGATGGCATGACCTGAGTGTGGTAAAAGGACGACTCTAAGTGTCTTAACGCGCCCGGGCGGCCGGCTGAATACCGTTTGCTCGGGCGGGGGACAATTTAAACCCCCTGAGATCTCGGGAACTAAAAGAGCTAAAAACACCCAACTTTCCGGGTGTGTTGGACCTATACGTGAACTCACTTAATCAAAAGTTTAAGGTTCCTAGGTCATTATCTTCGTGAAAAACAAGGTCAAACAAGGTCAAATTTCACGTTGGTCTCCAAAGTGCCTCAGAACCTAGATAACCGTTTCTAAGCAAAATGTCGCATGCTTATTCAAGGTCAGTGACCTTGATCGGCCTTTGAAGGTCATGGTGACCAAATCATACAAGACTGCTCTGAGTTTTGCATCTAAATAAGCGACAATGATTACGCTAGGCAGTTCGTTCCTGAAAACAAATGTTGACTGGGTCATTTTAGGTCAATGACCCTATTCTGACCTATAAGAAACCATGGGAAATGCACAATGTGGTTCCTGTATCAACAAATTCAAAATGAGCAATAAAACTACCTCTCACAGCAAAGCCCTGGTGTAATAAAACATGCTGGTTTGACCTTTGTCTGACCTTCATACCTAATGGTTAATGTAATTTGCTCGCACCGGCTCTCTAGTGATCGGTGCCGGCGTTGGTACCGGCCCAGGTTCTTAGGTCAATGAATTTGGTCCTATGGTCATACTTTTGTTTAGGTCCTTAGGTCATACCTAGGCCAATGTTAATTGCTCATTCAACTGTTGTGTTGCCTAAGAAGCATCTCAGAGGACGTATGGCTTCAGTTTAACACTCCGTCGTTGCAATCAAATTCAACGATTCCCTGGAAATTGACTTCGCTGAAAGCATGGCCTGTCTTTGACCTGCCCGTAGGCCAGCGACCCTTCAAGGTACATTCAATGTTTTATCTCAAGCAATCCGCTGTTTAATTTTCTACTGTTATACAAAATTTGGCGCGGCATATACTGCGCTGTTCGGAAGTCATTCCGGAAAAGCCTTCGGGGAGGGGGTCAATTTACCCCCACCCGATCGCGTGTAAAGTTATAAATTTCGGCCGTTTGATTTTATATTTCAAAATCCAACTGAAGGGGGAATTTCTGCAAATATAATGGGCTTTTCCGATGCCTTTGTTGTTTTTCAGTTGAGTTGAGTCTAAAGTTGCGCGCGTACGTTATAATGCATCTTAAGAATGGTTGTGGCCTGTATGCGTGCGAATGGCATACAGCTCTTACAAGGGCAGAACCATCGACGGACGTTTTTGGCCTGCGCCTCATCTCCAATGTTGTTCTGCATGCCACGTTGAACACTTAAATTTAATGTGCCACTCTGGGGTCGGTAATCTCCGTCTTTCTTGGACCTCCGTGGTGAATACCAAGCACTAAATAAAACACAGGATCATATGCAGTGCTGAAGAGATACAATACAGTATATCCCTGTACTCTTATTCGTAACTGTTTTTTTCCTGTTTTGCTTTTTGTGGGCACTGCCTGCATGTCTTTGATGATGTGGGATGCGTTGATAAATACACTGCCTTTGACTGAAAATGTTTACCCGACGCTTAGATCAGCTGCATTTGATATGCACACGACTCCGTTTGGCGTAACAAACACTTCCATCGTGATCGCCGGCACCAATCACCAGAGCGCCGGTGCAGCGCCGGCTCACCAGAGCGCGAGCCGGCAGCGCCGTACGAGCGTCGGCACCGATCACCAGCGCCGGTGGGAGCGCCGGCTCCGATCACCAGAGCGCCGGTGCGAGCGTCGGCACCGATCACCAGAGCGCCGGTGCGAGCGTCGGCACCGATCACCAGAGCGCCGGTGCGCGTGCGAGCGTCGGCACCGATCACCAGAGCGCCGGTGGGAGGCGCGTAGCTCGGGCGACCCTCCATGGTGTGGCTGTGGATTGGTTATTGCTGTGTATTGTGAGCACGCACCCACGTTTACAGCGTAATGCAATCAATGAACCTGGATATACGCAAGGAAGACCTACGGTGTCTGGTCTTGGACTTGAGAGTTCTTTGTTGAAAAATGACATTTAATATTCCATGAAGCTGATGTTTAAACAAGGACATAAGGCAAGGGCGGCGCGACCTGTGTGACCATGGAATAGGTTTGGAAGTTGAGTTTTCTCAATGACCGGAGTTTGCTAGCGTTTAACGTTCAACGTTTACCAGTACCTTCTCACACTCCTGGCATGAAGTTCGATTAGTATTAAAACGATGTCTTCCAACTGGCAATTGATGAAAGATTACAGAAAAATTGATGATAGAGATATAATGCAACGGGAACACCAACACATGAAATTAACTGATAAGCAGAAAGAAATAAATGCATCAGACCCTGAAAGCCCCTGCTTCGTAGAAGGTTTCGTCCGTTAACATGGCACATCTGGCAGGATGGAATCTTTGGAATAAAAAGCCGACATAATTCCAGCGAAGTCTTCTCAAACTGAACTGTCCTCCGCTCACAGGCTTGGCTGAGAGTCTCAAACGTAAACAGGCTAGCGCTTTACATGATTGAACCGTTTGTGATGTGGGGATTCCCTTGCCGCGAATGGAGTGGCAGACCTCTTCAAAGCAAGCATCAGATGTTTCTAAACACGTTTGTTTAAATCATTAAAGCAGCGTCATCCAGCTGTAAACAAGAGACTTGTGTATCACAACGCCATCCGGGGCGCGGGGGCCGGAACTCTGCACGTCTCCGCATAAACACCAAGTCCCAAACATCAGACCATGGCGATACTTCGGCCCGGTACCCAGTCTCTCCTCTCTCTCTCTCTCTCTCTCTCTCTCCTCCTCTCTCTCTATCTCTCGCTCTCTCTCTCTCTCTCTCTCTCTCTTCTCTCTCTCTATCTTCTCTCTCTATCTCTCTCTCTCTATCTCTCTACTTCTCTCTCTCTCTCTTCTCCTCTCTATCTCGATATTCTCTTCTCTCTCTCCTCTCCTCTCTCTTCTCTCTCTCTCTCTCTTCTCTCTCTCTCTCTCTATCTCTCTATTCTTCTCTCTCTCTCTCTCCTCTCTTATCTCTTCTCTCTCTTCTTCTCTCTCTCTCTCTCCTCTCTCTCTCTTCTTCCTCTCTCTCTCTCTCCTCTCTTCTCTTCTCTCTCTCTCTCTCTCTCTTCTCTCTCTCTCTCTCCTCTCTTCTCTCTCTCTCTCTCTCTCTCTCTCTCTCTCCTCTCTATCTCTCTCTCTCTCTCTCTCTCTCTCTCTCTCTCTTCTCTCTCTCTCTCTCTCTTCTCTCTCTCTATCTCTCTCTCTCTCTCTCTCTCTCTCTCTCTCTCTTCTCTCTCTCTCTCTCTCTCTCTCTCCTCTCTCTCTCTCTCTCTCTCTATCTCTCTCTCTCTCTCTCTCTCTCTCTCTCTCTCTCTCTCTCCCTCTCTCTCTCTCTCCTCTCCTCTCTCTTCTCTCTCTATCTCTCTCTCTCTCTCTCTCTCTCTCTCTCTCTCTCTCTCTCTCTCTCTCTCTCTCTCTCGCTCTCCCTTTCTCTCTCTCTCTCATGTGGGCACAGACAGACAGTCAGACGTTTGAACGGCGTTGCCAGTGACGTCAGCGACTGGCGGTTGTGCGTTACCAGTGACGTCAGCGACTGGCGGTCGTGCGTTGAAGCCCCGTTCGCCGCGCCATGTAGTTGCCTGCTACGGTTGCTGATGCTGCCACGAGGGGCAATGCGGACAGCGCCAAGTCTGTTATGGATACATTACCAGACATCACTGGCACTCAAACGGATGAGGAATAGCGACAGCTTCGACGGGCGGCGTTATGATTCGGCTACCAAAAATTGCATTCAGCTAGCATATTTCACGATAGCAAAATGGTAATTTGCCCACGCGCGTTTAGCTTAAATGAAATGTTTTGCACTTGAAGATATTAAAGCAAGCATCAGATATAATGAAGCAACCTCATTTATAACTATTGGTATACTTTTCGAGTGGAAAAGAGGGGTCTACACGGCACAATTTCCTCTTTATTAAATATACTTTTCATGATTCATGGTTTGATTGCGCCATCCTACCTTGTACAACATTGACTGAAAGCCAAGTGACGGCCGTGATATCTGAAAATCGCGCTCAAGAACGCCAAATATGAACGTGCCGAGATTTATTTGCCTTCATCGCTGCATGGTTTATGGAATGGCAGGATTTGAACGACGTTATTTTGATGTCATGAATGGCAGGTTAACTTTGAAATACTCTAACCGATATACCTGTCGCTATTTTCGCGGGCATGTAGCTCAGAAACAAGAAAAGAGGTCTCTAAAATGGCCAGGATTATAAACAACACCGAAAGCTCTTCAAGACTTGCTATTTCAATTCAAAACCCCACATAAATGTCGAACACACCCTTTGATACGCGCGCCCGACCGAAATTCTTGTTCACAGATCACACTTAAAACTGAACCTGGCGTATTTGCGACACGCGCACAGCGCAGGCCAAACCGGGCGGCCGTGCATCAGCTGACTCCTTACACCACCCCCTTCAGAGGAGGTCTTTGGTTACAGGTCGGTGGCCAGTCAGCTGATTGCCGGCAAGTCAGTGGTGGCTGAGCACTACGACAGCGTGACCATCTACTTCAGCGACATCGTCGGCTTCACCGCCATCTCAGCCGAGTCCACGCCCATGCAGGTAACACCGAGGACCTGCAGCCTGCTGACGTCCAGGGTTCTGCGCTTGGCACCGAAGGAGCAGTGGCTGCTTATGTCGGTGGTAGTGGTTTGGTAGTTATGAGTGGTGGTTGTTCAAGTTGGTTGTGATTACGGTCAGCGCAGAGAAGAAAATAAATTGACATGCACGGCGTCGCGGCGTCAGCAAGCGAAAAGATAACTTGACTGCTTTTGTGTGTAACCCACTGAGAATTATACGAATGCTTTCAGAAAAGAGGCGAGTGGCTCTTTAGCTTTATTTAATGGCTGAGATAGGGTACGCGTTAACAAGGCGCCCTCAAAGAGCACCTGTTTTTCATATTTACACTTAACGGGCCGCTGAGTCTCACAAGCGCCGTGAACATTTAGGACTAACAGAAGTGCTTGGTAATGCAGTGATGTATAAGATTCTCCTGTCGTTATGCCATTAAACTGCAGCATCTCAGCGGCCGCTGAACAGGGACCTGATTCGCGGATATTCAGCGGGAGGGGTCAGAGGCAGCGCTCCGCAGGCTTACGGGCGTTTTGATACGGCGTCACCGCATCGGCCGCCCTCACCAGCTCAGTCGATGGCCTCCTTTCCACAGCGTGTGCCTTCGTCTGCAATATCTATGCAAATAGTCTGGTCGCGTGAGACCCTGTCGTGCCTGCACGGGCCGGGAGAGCGCCTCGGCAGCGGCCGCGTGTCCGGCGCCGCCCGCTCCGAATGCCGGCGAGCGGCGCGGCTCTCGCGGTCGGCCCCGACGGCCGGCGCGCCGTGCTCGCCCGCCTGACCGACGCCAGAGCTGGCTCCAGCCCAAACGGCGGAGACGTGACGTGGGCCGTGGCGGGTCACCCGAAGTGGTGTTGTCTCTCTTTCAGGTGGTGGATCTCCTCAACGATCTGTACACTTGCTTCGACTCGATCATAGAGAGCTTTGACGTCTACAAGGTCAGTTCTGTTGTTTGGTTTGTAAGTTGCGAGGCATTTATGAGGACTTCATACCTGCTCGGTACTCATGTCCGTTTGCATTGTGAACACGAGTGCTTTCTGTGTGTGGTGGTGACACACTGGCGGGGCCTTTTTGTTTGTTCCGTTCTTCTTTCTAGGCACGCAACCCGGCCGCAGGTCACCGTCAAAGATGCGCAAAAACAATACCGGGCTCCTGAATTCCCTTGCAAGGGTAGGATTTCTTTAGTGTCGTGCTTAAAAACAAGGCAAATTGAATTAAAAAAGTGGTTAAAGAACGATCCCTCTCTAGAGAGAAATGAGTGCTATCTTGCATGGGTCAGAATAGGCTATGCAAGGGCCAGTTTCTGGCAACTGACCATGATTATATACTTGTCACGTAGAGACCGGGTCACAACATCGCACGCAGGACAAAATCGCTCTGCTATCTCGTATAACAACAATAATAAAAGGAAGGCCGTTATATGTGACAGTCTCAATTGGCGGCACCATTTGACAATATTATACGGCATGCTTCTGATTCGGGGGATTCGCGGTGTGAGTTCGCGAGCTATTGAACTTTCCCCGACTCACTGAACTCTTCAGAAACCTTGTTTTAGGCCATCAGCAGATCATTTGAATATTCATGAAGACACCATTTGGGTCCCTCCTAGGAGTAAATACAATTGCTGGCAGCTGGCTGTCTTGAGCGCACCATATGGCTTAGGCTTTGTAGTGGCTTTGACTTACCATAGGCTTTGTAATGAAATGACACTTGCATGACCTCAGAGCATTTGGCTTTTGGGACCTTGCCGGCCATCGCGTATAGCTGCCGGGACCTCGCCGGCTTTCGCGTTTAGCTTTTGGGATCTCGCCGGCCATCGCGTATAGCCTTTGGGACCTCGTCGGCCATCGCATATAACTGTTGGGGCCTCGCCGGTCATCGAATATAGCTGTTGGGATCTCGCTGGCCATCGCGTATAGCTGTTGGGACCTCGCTGGCTATCGAGTATAGCTGTTGGGACCTCGCCGGCCATCGCGTATAGCTGTTGGGACCTCGCCGGCCATCGCGTATAGCTGTTGGGACCTCGCCGGCCATCGCATATAGCTGTTGGGACCTCGCTTGCCATCGAGTATAGCTGTTGGGACCTCGCCGGCCATCGCATATAGCTGTTGGGATCTCGCCGGCCATCGCGTATGGCTGTTGGGACCACCCTGGCTATCGCGTTTAGCTGTTGGGATCTCGCCGGCCATCGCATATAGATGTTGGGACCTCGCTGGCCATCGAGTATAGCTGTTGGGACCTCGCTGGCCATCGCGTATAGCTGTTGGGACCTCGCCGTCCGTCGCGTATAGTTGTTGGGACCTCGCTGGCCATCGCATATAGCTGTTGGGACCTCGCCGGCCATCGCGTATAGCTGTTGGGACCGCGCCGACCATCGCATATAGCTGTTGGGACCTCGCTGGCCATCGAGTATAGCTGTTGGGACCTCGCCGGTCATCACATATAGCTGTCGGGACCTCGCTGGGCATCGTGTTTAGCTGAGTCGCCTCGGCTGACCTCGGGGTTTGTCGCTATGGGGCCGCCCATATATCACGTCAAACATGGGATGGTGATGGAGCGTAACCAAAGCGTAATCAGGAGAGGGGATGGGGCTTGGGAGGCTTGAACAGAGTGATATGACGCTCAGGTTTAGTTTCAAGTCATCCTGAAGTCCTTTTTTATGTTCTAAAATGTAAATCGGGACACCACTGGCTTCCTCTCATGTCAAAAAACATTTCGTTTTTGTTTGCATCTCTTGTTCAATTAGGGACCAAATTAACTCTACCTTTTCGGGACGTTACGCTGATCTCAGCGTAACCAGAGTGGTCGGGGTTGCCCAATGCGTAAACAGTGCGCAACCATAGAGACGGGATTGAAACATTGCCATAAAGGTGTAGCGTAATTTATGGACCTCAGTGTACCATTCAATGAGTTTCGTCTCATCTCTTGATTCTCGAATTCCTGGCCGGTGATCACTTTGCGTGCCCGAGTCGGTCTGACCTTTGGCAGTCGAAGGCGTCTTCTGACCGCTTCGTCCGCCTACCCCGCCCCGCCCCTGATCGTCTCGAGAAATGTTTTACGCATACTGACCCCTTGAACTTCTCAGCGCACGCAAATCGACCCCAAGCCTCTAGCCACCGTCTCAGTGTCCCCCATAGTTCACGGGTCCTTTTGCATGTGACTTCCGTATCGCCCAATGTTGCAGTCTCCTCAGTTTTATGAAGTCCTTTGACATTCTGGTGTTCCCACGGTTTTCTTCCGAATATTGGCCACCGTTATGACTAGATCAGCCGGCGCTCCTTCTCCTGATCCCCAGCCTGAGGGCTGCGCCGCGGAGATAACCCGAAACCGACTGATGCCTGTCCCCCCTAAACAACGTCCTCCCAGCAATGTGCTGCCCCGCCGTACAGCGTGCCGCGGGGAGAGAGAGGTAGAGAGGGAGAGAGGTCCCGCGTGCCGCGGGGAGAGAGGTTAGGGAGGACGCGGGAGCGGGCCGGGCCGGTCGGTCGACTCCTGCCCCGCGTGTCGCGGGGAGAGAGGTTCGGGAGGACGCGGGAGCGGGCCGGGCCGGTCGGTCGACTCCTGCTCAGAATCGGCGGCTGCTCGGAGCAGCACTCGCCCGTCAGAGTCCGTGGTCTGGTCCTGGCCAGCTGCTTGTCGCCAGCGACGTGTGCGTCTTTCGCTGGAAGCCGTCAGGAATAGGGCGCTGGCTTATGCGCTGCCCGGCCGCCGATTCTGGGGAGGCCGATCGATGAAGCCTCGGCCGGCCGCTCGGCTGGCCGGCTGCAGTCCATCATCTTCTTATTGACCATTGCTGATGTCAATTGACCGGCCTCTGCATTAATCAGCGTGAGAGCTGGCGGTGAGGTGACCTTTCAGATGACATCTATCTCAGCCTTGTCCTCGTCGACTTCAATTAAGGACGGCGCCGTATCCATGCGGTGGCAGGGCTGGTGTGGGCTTCACGCAGCACCACTGCGCGCCCGTTTTCCGTAGGTGGAGACTATCGGCGACGCATACATGGTGGTCTCCGGCCTGCCGATGCGGAACGGCGCCAAGCACGCTGGAGAGATAGCCGGCATGTCGCTGAAGTTGCTGGAGGCGGTTCAGAGCTTCCAGATCCGCCACCGGCCCGGGCAGCAGCTCAAGCTGCGTATCGGCTTGCACACGGGTGAGTGGGGGCGACACGGACTGTCGACGAACAGGCACGGGTGAGTGGGGGCGACACGGGCTGTCGACAAACACGCACGGGTGAGTGAGGACGACACAAACTAACACAGACTGTCGAGTCACCCGCACAGATGAGTGAGGACGACGCGGATTGTCCACAAACACGCACGGATGAGTGAGGACGACACGGACTGTCCACAAACAAGCACGGATGAGTGAGGACGACACGGACTGGCACGGACTGTCGACAAACACGCACGGATGAGTGAGGACGACGCGGACTTTCCACAAACACGCACGGATGAGTAAGGATGACGCTGACTGTCACGGATTGTCGACAAACACGCACGGATGAGTGAGGACGACACGGACTGTCACGGACTGTCGACAAACACGCACGGATTAGTGAAGACGACACGGACTGGCACGGACTGTCGACAAGCACGCACGGATGAGTGAGGACGACGCGGACTTTCCACAAACACTCACGGATGAGTGAGGACGACGCGGACTTTCCACAAACACTCACGGATGAGTGAGGACGACGCGGATTGTCACGGAATGCCGACTCGGATGAGTGAGGACGACACGGACTGTCCACAAACACTCACGGATGAGTGAGTACGACACGGACTGACACGGAATGTCGACAAACACGCACGGATGAGTGAGGACAACTCGGACTGACACGGAATGTCGACTCACATGCTCGGATGAGTGAGGACAACTCGGACTGACACGGAATGTCGACTCACATGCTCGGATGAGTGAGGACAACTCGGACTGACAGGGAATGTCGACTCACATGCTCGGATGAGTGATGAAACGGCCGGTCGGTACCACTGGAAGCAGTTACCTAAGCATGCCACGAAGCTCAAGCCTCAGGCCGGTAGGTGATCCGCTTTGTGTTAAAGGAAGCCTTATGACAATCAAGTGATTATCATTGCATGGAGGCCTGGTGGCGTGGTCGTCACACTCTGTCCGACACTGGCACTACCCCCCCCCCCCCCGCTCCTCACCCCCACCCACCCCTCACCCCGACTTAGAAGCGCTTAGAGTCACGAGTAAGCGAGGCTTGAGGCTTACCAGTAAACATAAGTATTTAAAAGCCAAAGTTGCGCAAGTCAGAACATGGTCCGAGTTGTCAAAGAGATGCACAATGCAGGTGTTGAGGTATGTTCGGAACACAGACGACTAGGCCTAGACGTCCCGACGGTCCTAGTCGAGTGCCAACTGAACACGGCATACATATGAACACGGCATACATATGAACACGGCATACATATGAACACGGCATACATATGTATGCCGTGCACCACATATGTATGGTGCATACATATATGGTGCTGAATCTAATCGCAGAGAACATCGACTAAGTATGCCGATTTGCCTTAAGCGCAGCTGGTTGTGTTAAACTCATCCCTCACAGCAACCTCATGCGTTTCGAATGGTAGGACATCTGTCAGCACCACCCCAGTATTTCTTTCACCCAAAGCCATGCTACAAAAGACGTGAGTTTCCTCCTCCGAAAATAAGTGGTGTTGCGTTGCAGTTCGGCACAACCGTGGCTAAATGGGAACCGGAACTGAAAACACAGTTGCGGGGAGTGGCACGCTTTTTTCTGATCAGCAGTTCTGCGAGCGTAAACGAGCTAACATGTCGCTTCCTTCGTGCGCCTTTGGTTTTTTAGTCTTACTCATCCGCGTTTTTTTGTCTTCGTCACCCATGCCTTAGCTCTTTAGTCACCGGTGCGTATGTGTGTGTGCTTTTTAGCTTCCATTTTGATTGCCCCGTTCACTCATTGCCACGAATACTGTCTTGAGACGTCGCGTAGTTCATAACATATCGTGATTATTAATAGATCTTGTTGTCTAACTGGTACGTACTGGTACATTGAACATTGCTCATTTTCGGTATCAAATCTCGTGATGCAGGGGGTGTTTCGCTGCCGAACTAATGCATCTGTGTCGCTCGTGTTCGTGTCATTTTTGCTGGGGTCATTGCTTGTTGTGCCGAAAGTAGATCTGATATCTTAAGTAAGTTCGACATTGGTCCTCCTTGCAAAAAGCTGAAGTACAAAATGTCGCTGTCGGATCACCCGAAAAGCAGTCTGGAATCTGCCTTGTTGTCCGCATCCATACAGTTGTGGGGGCAACACAACTGAAGAGGCACATTCTGCGGGCTGTAATGGATGGAAGCTGAATAAATGAGGCGCTTAAAGAAACAACAACTCGATGGAATAAAAACAGCTAGATTCAGTACAAATCATCAACAGTCTTACGACGATGCTCCGAATAAATTGGACGACAAGAATCAACACCGAAGCCAGCGGCACCGACAGCGATGGTGAGATGAGTCAGTCGTGAGCGCAGATCTGCATTCTGGGACAGCATTTGTCTGCTGTCTCCGTCCTAGATGGTTACGAGATTATCCCCGACGGAGAGTGATGGGGAGAGCCGCTGGTCGGTCCCGGCTGGTGACGCGTGCGTCTGGTGTCGCCGCAGGCCCGGTGGTGGCCGGCGTGGTCGGCCTGAAGATGCCCCGCTACTGTCTCTTCGGCGACACCGTCAACACCTCCTCTCGGATGGAGTCCAACGGACTGCGTGCGTATACACCACACCTGTGTTCGGTTCGGCTTCAGCGAAATCGATCCGGGCTCCCGCTAACATGCATGGAATCCATATCAACTCCTGTGCCGAGTCATACAGCACAAATTTAGCCGGGTCTGGCTCCGACCCAAGGACGAATGGTGGGGCTGCGGAATGAGTTCTGATGAAGCCCGATACTGGTGATAACAGTTTGCGAGAATAATCGTGCTACAGATTGTATAAAGACCTAGACAGAATATGCATCTTGGTAACGGGACAACTATCTTTGAGTGAGACCTAACTGGCTCACCCATACACCATGCCAACAATATGTGTTGTGCTTTTTATTTGGGTCGAGTTACCGATTATTTTTTCCCCACAACTCCGACTACAACAAATATTCCAACAAGTCAGCCCCGTAGGATTTGGTTGATTCCAAAGTCGGCCCAGCCAACGCCTGGAGTGAGGCGCAACGCTGGTGTACAGACCCACCCCAACCCGGCTGCCGTCCGAGGCTGCTGAACAAAAACGCTGGTGTACAGACCCACCCCAACCCGACTGCCGTCCGAGGCTGCTGAACAAAAACGCTGGTGTACAGACCCACCCCAACCCGGCTGCCGTCCGAGGCTGCTGAACAAAAACGCTGGTGTACAGACCCACCCCAACCCGATTGCCGTCCGAGGCTGCTGAACAAAAACGCTGGTGTACAGACCCGCCCCAACCCCCTGCCGTCCGAGGCTGCTGAACAAAAACGCTGGTGTACAGACCCACCCCAACCCGATTGCCGTCCGAGGCTGCTGAACAAAAACGCTGGTGTGCAGACCCACCCCAACCCGACTGCCGTCCGAGGCTGCTGAGCAAAAACGCTGGTGTACAGACCCACCCCAACCTGGCTGTCGTCCGAGGCTGCTGAACAAAAACGCTGATGTACAGACCCACCCCAACCGGACTGCCGTCCGATGCTGCTGAACAAAAACGCTGGTGTACAGACTCACCCCAACCCGGCTGCCGTCCGAGGCTGCTGAGCAAAAACGCGGGTGTACAGACCCACCCCAACCCGGCTGTCGTCCGAGGCTGCTGAACAAAAACGCCCCATCTGTCCAGAACATTTTTGTTTTGCAAAGCAATGCAACCGAGGTTACACTGATCTTTTTGGTTAAAATGTCATTAAAAAGTGCAGTTTAAGAGTATGCGAGTTGGTAACTTTACGAACAAGCTACTTGCGCCAATCAGGATGCTGCTGGAAAACGCCCAAGGAAACTGCACGGTGATTGCAACAAAGTTGCATGATGTTGGTAGTACTAGAGTTGTGACTGACCTAATCTTCGCCAGACGGCATAGACCGAATGGTTGTCACTCCAGCGGCGGGCCAGGAGCGTGTAGGTACTTCTGGGCCGCAATGTGATGTATAATTACTCTGGAGTCACGGAAAAGCAAGTGGATTGCCTGGCATTGAATAGTTCAACAATGGCCTGTTCGTTCCCTGCAAAGCAACCAATGGTCGTCCACATCAAGTCAAGCTCATGCTCCTAAACATGAAAACAAGGAAATGACGCTCGGGAACACAGATGGTCTTCGTACAGTGCAGCGAACTTTCCAGAACAAAAGCTGGATCTTTACAGGGTGTGGGGCTAAACAGAGACACAAACGCGGGTGGCATGCAATCAGTTTTTCCTCGCTTGAAAATGAAATATTGTTCTTGTTTGATAATATATAAAAAACAGCCAATGACCGTTGCCATATTGCATTATCTTAGGTCGGTCCTCCATCGCATTTTGCTCCGAGTTATATTTGTGTCATCAGTTTGCATCGGCTGTACTAATGAGCTTTTTCTTTGCACAGCTGCACATTTTTGTTAACAATTATTTCTGAGCATCGCGGGTACTAACTAGAGGTCACTGCTGAACCAGAAGGGGTCACCGGTCAATCGTGAAGTGGCTAGATCGCTTAGATCTGATGTAACCAACTGGTATTTGCTTCGTGGCCCTAACTTAATACCGGGTGAGTGACGATGAAAGTTTCCACCAGCCTCCCCCTCGTCTGGGGGCTGATGAGAAATGTTGCCACCCTGGCGTGAGCGGGGACGCTTCCTCTGCGTGCATTCGTAATCAATACGTTTTGCTCTTTATGCCGTTGCAAAATTTGATATGCATCGAATGATGATCCTGATTTTCCAGGTGCTGTTGTGTCGCAATGGTGTCGTAATGTGACTCCTGGATATGGTGCCCCTCCACTCCTCTACAGATATATTTCGGGCTCCTCTGATGATGCGATCAGTTTTCGACAGAACAATCGTGATATGTCAATGAATGTTGTGTGGCGGTCCGTTTGCAGCGCTGCGGATACACGTGAGCTCCACTACGAAGGAGGTATTGGACACGCTGGGTGCTTTCCAGCTGGACCTGAGGGGGGAGGTGGAGATGAAGGTCAGTAATGAAGCGCGTGCTTTTGTTTCCTCTTGAAGCGACCTGAAGCGTGATCCATGAACCTTCTGTTAAACCGTGACATGTAGGTTTTTATGGAAGCAGTCGTCTCAAAAGATGTGTCAGAGTATTTAGTGCGAATAATGCATGGAGATGCTTTGTAATTTCCTGGACATTTCCTTCCTTCATGTTACGTTTTCTGAGCCTGCCCTTTGAAGTTGTTTTACGGTTTGTTATAAGGTTTCACTTACGTTACAAGTTAGTCATGATATAGGGAATGCTTCCTTTCCCCTCGTGGAAACAAAACCTATTGGATCATGCGTCGGCATGCCAAAAGCAACAACAGAAATATATCAAACATCTGCTCCTAGTCGAGAAGAGCCGCGCAGGAATCAGGCCCAGCGCGTGGTGCGTGCGCGCTACGTACTGGGTCCATGTGTGTGCTGCCGTGCTGTCTTAGGCGGACCGCCAGCCGCAGCGCCCCGGTAACAGTGCCAGTGCCCTGCGGCAGTGCCCGACGTGACCACCCTGGGATACGAGCTGGCTTGCCGAAGCTCCACTCTCGTGACACCCGGGGGAACATCGGGACGTGACGTGACTCCAGACGGCTGCTCCCGCGCAGAAGGCGCTCCTTCTGGCTCTCGGAGAGTGTAGCTTTCGGCCCGCTGACCTATCACGTGCCGGCGTCAGCTCCAGCTTTGACTGTGCGCTCGTCTGTCGGGAGCGGGAGCAAGCGGAAGCCACGGCGCACCTCTGATGCGTACCGCCGCCGGTCGGGCTCCTGAGGTAGCGGGACCTCTGGGAAAACTGCGGGACCTCCTGGAAAACTGCGGGACCTCTGTGAAAACGGGGGGAGGGAGCGGGAGGCGCGGTGCACCTCCGATACGTACCACCGCCGGTTGGGCTCCTGGGGCGGCGGGACCTCCGAGAAAGCTGCGCCGCTCGTGGCTCATTTGTAACAAAATCGCTCCATCAAGATCTTCTGGGCCGCACGTGCTGTCTAACTGGAATGCCTGGCGCCGCCGCTGAATGGCGCTCATCAGCTCTGAGCCGGGTGGATGGGCATCCCGGGTCAGCCCGAACGAGGTCGGGCCGCTTGGAGCTGGCCGAGTCACGTGGTGCGGGGGCTGGCCGTGCCACGGGGGCCTGGCCCAGCTAAGGAGGCTGGCCGGGCTACGAGGGCTGGCTGGGCCCCGGGGAGGGGGGGGGGGGCGGGGGCTGGCCGGGCCACGGGGGCCTGGCCCAGCTAAGGAGGCTGGCCGGGCTACGAGGGCTGGCTGGACCCCCGGGGGGGGGGGGACAGGTCGGGCCACGGGTTGGGCTCCTTGGAATCGGTCCGTCTCCGTCTCCGGTCCTGCGATCGCAGCTCCTCAGCTGGGAATCCGTTCCCCAACACCGCGCAGGCCGCTGCTGGTGAATGATGAGACGATGAGATCAGTGAGCGGAACACTGATAAATGCGCTGGTCCGAAACCACATCATCCACCATAAATCAACGGTTCTACGGGGGGCCTCGCGATAAACTAATAACCGTTTAAGTGGCGTTTGGAGTGAAACATTTCGGAACATTGGAAACAGTTTTCGCAAGTGAGGCCCATCGGCTTCGCTGGGTGACTGTCATGATTATATTGAGTTGTGCCGACTTTTCTTACAATTCCAAATGAGCGAAAAATATTTGTCCTGTGGTTCTCGGTGCGTGTGACCCCTCCCTCCTCTTCCTCCTAAAGCGTCCTCTTTCTGTGTTGCGGTTTCTCCTTCGTCCCCCTTCCTGCGCCGCCGTCCATCTGAGGGCAGTCCCTGTCCCAGATCCTCCTGCTGTACCGTCCTCCATCTGCAACACGGATCACCCTCGTGGCTCCCTTTTTGCGGGACAGACTTTTCCACCGGTTTTCTTCCTGACCCGTCCTCACGCCGTGGCAGAGGCCCTCCTCCGTTCCTTGTTCTGCAGAATCTTCCATCTGTGGTGCAGAATCCCTTCCTCTGTTCGTCCTGCGACGTTCTCCACATTCTCTTCTACAAATAGCCGCATTTTCTCGAACTCTTTCGTCACACCCTTTTAAATTTATTCTTCGCATAATCTGTGCTCTTTCTTTTAAATTTTGCTGCATTACAAAGTCTGGAACGATGCATTCCAGTATCACTGTGGCAAGAGACACAGATAAAAATTGAATTGGAATCCGAATACCTTTGCTTACCTTTTATGGCCAGCAGGCACATCTTCCCAGCTACAGGGGTCCTGACACACCGGAATGATGCATGCTGTTGTCACCTTGGCTCGACTCTTCCGTCCGCAGTTAATGGATGAATTGAGATGAATAAAAACCGCGGCTGTATTTTCGATCACAGCGCGTATGCTTTCCACGTTTTGCTTGAATTACTTGGCGGCGGGGACTGGGCGATCGATCGGTGGTATTTTGACGTCGCAAAACAGCGAAATGGCAGCCCTTCGGGCAAACTTAACGTTTGAGCGGATAAGTGTACAAAATGATTAAAAAATGGGCAACAATTACAGCTAATGGATCCGCGCACGAGGTGATGTGGATTTCGACGTGATCATGACGATGGTTTCCGCGCCAGCGTGTTGCACTTGCTCGCCTTTCGCCGAATTCCGACAACGCTTGCTGGCGCAACGGTGCGTCGCACAGTCTCGTATTGGCTACATGAATTGCAGGCGGTACATCGGTCGACGTTTTGAAGTTGAAGTCACGCCCCACCAGCTCTAGCTGCCGAGATGTGGCATAAAACTCGAAAAACGGTCAAAACGGGGAACCTATCTTTTCCGCCGCTGTGCACGTGGCACGTGACGCGTGCCGCGTCACATGCTGACATCACGCGATTCCCTGTTCATTTTTCTGTTGAAGCGTGTTGATTTGGCGTCGTTCCCATCCGCGATTGCCGAGATGCGAGCGGGGTTTCGAACGGCCGCTTGCCGGCCTCGACTCCGGTCGGTTTTTCGCTCCACCCGTGCAAACTGATGGGAAAAATACAATTTCCAACACGCGTCACGCACCGCCTGTTGACCCCACCGGCACGAAACTCGCCATGGCACGTCGCCACGTGCGTACGTGCGCCGTGTCAAATTTGCACTTCATTACGTCGCATCGTTTTACCCTCACGCGGGCTAACTGAAAGGACGCCAAACAGACGCACTTTACTGGAATAGTTGGATGTTATACATATATATATATATATATATATATATATATATATATATATATATATATATATATATAAATACGCAACTGTTGAATACTTTTCATACACAATCTCATATACATCTCAATAGGTTGGCGAAATTGCTGGCAACTTTTGGCAAAGGAACATTTATGAAATTAATCCTCTTCCCACTCATTTAAAGTTGGAGTTGACATCACAGTGATAATGGTGCAATTCGTTAGCATAGCAGTTCCATTGTTGAGGTGCTTTATCATGGCCCCTTAAGCAGCCTCACTGGCATTAAGCAAGCAAGGTTGTGCAATAGATGACACTGATCGGACATTTTCGTGCACATTGCATGCAGTGGTCTCAAATGTAGAAACAATGCAAAATGAACGTTGCGCTTAGCTTGGTTTCTGGTTAAAGGGAACGTTCCACGTCTATATGAGGTTATGAATTGAAATAGCCATCTTGAAGACATTTTGGTGCTGTTCATAATCCTGTCCTGTTTGAGACCTAAGCCCCTCTAGTTTCTTAGCCATACGCCCGCGAAAAAGGGAAAGACATGTTGGGGGAGCATTTTAAAGTTACCTTGGCATCCATGGCGTCATAGTAACGTCATTCAAATCCTGCCATTCCATAAGTCATGCGTGGATCAAGGCCAAGAACAACATAATTTTTGAGGCGTTCATATCTGGCGTTCGTGAGCGTGATTTCTAGTTATAACGGCTGTCAATTGGCTCTCAGTCAATGTTGTGCAAGGTGATGACACAATCAAACCATGACGCAGCGATGAGCATGTTTACAAATAGACACTTGTGCTATCTAGAGCAGTCCATTCCGCTTAAAAAGTATACCAATTGTGACAAGTGAGCTTATTTCATCACGTCTGATGCTTGCTATGACATCTTCAAATGTGAAACATCCCCTTTAATGCCGAGTCAGCATGGTAAGATAGCGGCATGGTTACCTGACCGATCGGGACGGGCCGGGCTGCCGGCTGAAATTTTGGAAAACGTGTCACTTATTCATACTCATAAGACACGAAGAAAATCAACCCGAACTCATGTGGCGCATCAGGGGCACAATCAGGACTGGGTCTCGGACTCAAGAACGGGCTTCAGACTCATGCTGCGAAAGCTTCGACCTGTTGCTGATTCCTGGCCGTTAGACGAGTTCACAAGGGGCCTTGACGTGAAGTGCGATGAAATGGAGCTCAACAGCCTGCTCGGACGCTGTTGTCAGTTACGAGACTACTGTGCCGTGTTGTCGCGCTGCCGAGGCGTACTTCAGCTGCGGCGCTGGCATCGACCGGGGTGGACCTGTGCGGGTAGAGCACGCACCGGAACCTCCCCAGTGAAACAGCAGCCCTAAACCCGCCCGCTCATTCGAAGACCCCCGGCTTCTCCCCATCCTTTGCTGTCGCCGTTCCTGCGCGAGTCCTCCGGCCTCGCAGTGGCGCGGCGAATCGGCGGAGGAGTCCTGCTGCGGCGTGAGCGGCGTGAGCGGCGCGGGCCGTTGGGGCCGCCGCCTCACCAGCCCAGGGCTGGGCGCGGGGCTGGGGACCGCCTGTGAGAGTCGGCCAGCGCGGCCTGGCTGCGCCACCGGCCGGTACAAACATCGATCGCCGACCTCGGCGTACAGTGACCGCCGGCGGGCCGCCGACCGCCGACGCACACAGACGGGCGCCCCGTTATCCACCGATATCAGAGACTCGTCATCCACCGGCAACGGAGACTCATCCGCTGACACCAGAGACTCATCATCCACCGACACCACAGGCTCGTTATCCACCGACACCACAGGCTTGTTATTCACCGACACCACCGACTTGTTAGCTACCGACGCCGTAGACTCGTTATCCGCCCCTACCACATACCTATTGCACATCAGTACACGTGGGTGTCTCATAATCCACCGACACCAAAGACAGGCTGCCGCCCCGTTGTTCACGAGCCGGTCTTGCTGTCCACTGACCCACATAGGCTTGCGCTCCGTTAGCTCCGCTATCCACGACGAACACAGACGGGCGCTCCATTGCCCACTGGCACATGTACGCACGCACGCACGCACGCACGCGCGCGCGCACGCGCACACGTACACCTCGTTATTCACGCCTCGTTATCCGTTGACGCGGACAGGCGGACGGCTCGTCATCCAGACATGCGGACCGTTGGCTATCGGCAGGCTCGCAGAGACGACATCCCGAGCTTCCACTGAAATCTGGGCGGATGTATCTGCTGAGGCATATCGACGGTTATTTTATCAGCCACTAACACGCTTTCTCTTATTCACTGACTTGATTAGACTAGAAGTGAACAGTGATAAGACTTTAATTTTTTACTCATATAAAGGGTTGGGGACCTCGCCACAGAACCTCCAACAGACATCACTTCTAATAGCACGTCATGATAATCATATTGGTGGCTATACCTCGAGGGAATATCGCAAGCAAGCTACACTATGAAGCATGTGCTACGTATAGTGCACACATCTGTTATCCGCGCACTATATTGAGGCACACCGTGGTTTGTAAGTCGTTCGGGACTCGTGTCTTATAGTGAGCGCCTGAGGACGCCCGCTTACTCCGAACAGAAGCCATATTACTTTGACACGTGACCTGAACGGTCGTACTGAAGCATGAGTGTGTTAAAGCGGAGAAATCGCTGTGCAATAACGAAAGCTTACTAAGCAGTTTGTAGGGGCGGGTACCTCAGCAGTCCTCGCTGGGGCCCCGCGCAGCGAGCACCAGCCGTCCAGGCCGGGATGTCTGTATTGCCTTTTCTCGTGGCGTGCTTGTGTCACGTTTTAGTGCGTTGTAGCGAGCGTCAAACAGCTGCGCCCTTGGGCACTCCTATTTGATGTTTTCCCTCGGTGCCCGAGGGCTGCCATATTTGATAATGGAGCAGTCGGCACTCGCGTACCGTCCGGCTGTGTGCGCCTCTGTAGTACTTGTAAAACGCGGCAGAGACGGAACCACAAACACCTTTCTGACAATTTCGCCCGCGGAAAGATGTCTATCCCGCGACACGATGAATAGAGAACAGAGATGGTGTAGAAACAAGGCGCGAGGCTACCCCGGCGCCCAAGCACAGCAGTCTATACAGGTCTAACGCTGCACTCCGTGCTGCTGTATCAAATGTATGTATGGGCTATGTCAAGTGCTAAAGAATAGCCCTGGCATTTGCTTTGCATTTGCTCGCCGGGAAGAAGCATCTCGCGCTGTATCGTCGAACGGTTCTCTGCTCGCCAGAGTCGTCTCTCAGAGTGCAGTCACTGATGGTGCGTCACTTTTCGCAGGGCAAGGGCAAGATGGTGACCTACTGGCTGCGGCACAAAAAGACCGATCTGATAGACATTGAGGGGGTCGACCTGCGCGAGACTAAGGTGTGATGGCGTGTGGCGGCGGGCCGGCGGCGGGCCGCGCGGCCGGTGGCTCTCCTCCGTCTGCGGTCGGCGTGCGGCGCTACGGTCTCGCTGCGGCGTCATCGGCAGCGTCCCGGCGTGGTGGCGTTAACCGTCGCCTGGCGGCTCGGCTGCCCTCACTCGACTGACGCCGCCGCCGCCCCGGCTTTAGGCGAGGGTCCTGTCGCCCCAGTGACACGCGGCAGCAAAGCCCACCCGTTTCCTGGCGGCCCTGGCCGCTCTGAGACGTCTGGCCTTGCTACTCATTGACTCCATTTCGAGTGCGTTTCTTTCATGTTGTTGACTGTTGAATATCGTGACTTGTTTGCGTGTTTGGCGCGGTGTTTTGTGTGTGTCCGCCGCTGTGGACGAGCCGAAGAGGCGACCGTCCGGTGGCTGGTGTGCACGCGGTGAGTGTTGGCTGTTGATTCACCCATCCAGCTCGCGCGCGCGCGGAGCAGCCGGCCGGCCCGCGTTGGTCGGCAGCGGCGCCATGTCCCGCTCGCGCAGTGTTCCGCTGCCATCGGGGCGGGCCATCCGATGACGCTTGGCCGCGTCCTTGTCACGAGCTTCTGACCCATTCATCTGTCCAGGGTCGTCTTCCCGACGGGATCCTGGTCAGCCCCGGGTCTCCGGCCTGGCAGTAACGTCACACCGAGCCCCGGGTCCTCAGTGTGACTCTGGCGCCACACCAAGCCCCGGGTCCTCAGTGTGACCCCGGTGTCATTCCGAGCGCCGGGCCCTCAGTGTGACTCCTGCTTCACACCGAGCCCCGTGTCCTCGGTGTGACCCCGGTGTCACACCGAGCCCCGGGTCCGCAGTGTGACTCTGGCGTCACACGGAGCCCCGGGTCCTCGGTGTGACTCTGGCGTCATACCGAGCCCCGGGTCCGCAGTATGACTCTGGCGTCATACTGAGCCCCGGGTCGGCAGTATAACTCCGGCGTCATACCGAGCCCGGATTCGCAGTATGACTTTGACGTCATACCGAGCCCGGATCCGCAGTATGACTCTGGCGTCACACCGAGCCCGGATTCGCAGTATAACTCTGGCGTCATACCGAGCCCGGATCTGCAGTGTGACTCTGGCGTCATACCGACCCCGGATCTGCAGTGTGACTCTGGCGTTATACCGAGCCTGGGTCCCCGGTGGGCTGCGGACGTCATACTGGTCCGGGGCAGTGCGCCAAGCCCGTCCACGCGGAGGGTCGCCGCGGCGCGCGCAGAGCCCGTCGGGCCTCGGGCGTCGCGGTCGCCACCGTGCCAGTGCTGGCTCGAGCCCGCTGCAGCTTCAGCAGCCGGCCGCGCCGCTGGAGGCGCCCAGCGCGCGCGCAGCGTCGGCACGACGGTCAGTGCTGCTGGGCGCCGCCGAGCATGCACCGTAGGTCAGTGTCGCTGGAAGTCATGTTTTATACATGGAGCCTAATAAACGACTTGTCTAACGCGGCCTTCATCGACTAACGTCGGAAAGATCGGCGCGACGGGGCGAGCTTTATTCGCAGAGTGCAAGGTGCTCAAGGCACACAGATGTCTGTAGCTCAGAGCTTAGATTCCATTCACGTTAAAAATACATATGCGGATCATCTGTGCACCATTTCCCATATGTAATAAACACACTAGGAATGCGCAAAACGTTGCAAAATTACAATACCTTGTGATATACAATACCTACGTACACACAGCACATCCCAGAATATCCACAATGTTTCGTAATTGTGTGTGGCATAGCGGCGATTGAAACATCCAGCACACAGTCCATGAAATGCAATGCAGGCTGCACGCCAAGCCGTAAAAACCATTAGTAAAATTACGCATCTTAACACGACTGCAAAGGACAAACAGCAACAGCAGCGACATTAGACAAGCTGGGACAGCGAAAAGAACGGCGCAGCATTTTTTGAGAGTTTTCTGTGCTACAAGTCTGACTCCGTGACACCTGCCCACTCGTCCTGAGTCTACGCACAGCTGGGAGCCACCTGGCAACAGTGTCTCCTCTTGCCTTACATGCACTGGACGGCGGGGTGACGCGAGGAAGACGCCACCTCGCGCCACACATGCACTGGACGGCGGGGTGGGACGAGGAAGACGTCTCCTCGCGCCACATGTGCACTGGACGGCGGGGTGGGGCGAGCAGGACGTCTTTTCGTGTCATACATGCACTGGACGGCGGGGTGACGCGAGGAAGACGCCACCTCGCGCCACACATGCACTGGACGGCGGGGTGGGACGAGGAAGACGTCTCCTCGCGCCACATGTGCACTGGACGGCGGGGTGGCGCGAGGAAGACGTCTCCTCGCGCCACATGTGCACTGGACGGCGGGGTGGCGCGAGGAAGACGTCTCCTCGCGCCACACATGCACTGGACGGCGGGGTGGGGCGAGCAGGACGTCTTTTCGTGTCATACATGCACTGGACGGCGGGGTGGAGAGGGATAAGCATCTCCTCGTGCCATACATGCATTGAACGGCGGGGTGGGGAGGAAGAAACGTCTCCTCGTGCCATACGTGCACAGCACGGCGGGGTGGGGCGAGGTAGACATCCCCCTCGCGCCACAGGGATCCCGAACGGCACCAGTAGGCCCGGCTGCGATACATGCCACAGGAATAACAACACACCGGGTAACAACAACAGACAACATAACAAAAGAATGGGCCATGGAGCGACTGGATCAGACGCAGATAATGGAGGCCACACTGGAGGTGATGACGGGAAAAAGAAAAAGAGCGACAGTTTTGAACTTGTATGGCTAGGACATGAAAGTGCTATCGCTATCTTACCCATCCATAACCCCAGCCGAAACCCGAAAGCCTCAACCAATATCCTAGCACACTAATTTAAGAATGGATTTACCTCAACGCAGAAACAACCTCAGACACGGCATGCCTTGCTCAGCCGTCTTGACACATGCAACTACACAATTCGATAAAGCTCATCGACAGATTTACTGGCGTCACCCATGAAGTACCTTGATCAGCTCAACAAATCACAACGGCGCAGCAAATTACAGCTGAACAACACCAACTTGTGTTGCGGCAGGACGCCATCACAACATTGACATCTTTTAGCGGTATTCTTTTGGCACCATCCCATCCGAAGCCCTCCTAAAATGCCGGAAGTTCGGAGGCGTTGTTAGCGGGAAGCAGGGCCAGCCGTGTGTTCGCGCCGCAGCAGCCGCTGTGATACGGCGGCCGCGTCACAGGCCTTCCTGCTCCCGCGCGAACCTCAGGAACACCTGCTCCAGCGTCGTCTGGCTCAGGCTGTACTCCTCCAGACCCAGGCGCGCCTTGGCTGAAAACAGGAGCGCCGATTCAGCGGGCACGGCAGATGGACCGCCAGATCACGTGACCCGGGGCGCGGCAGGTCAGCGGGCACGGCCGGCGGCCCGCCAGATCACGTGACCCGGGAGGGCGGCAGGTCAGGGGGCACGGCCGGCGGCCCGTCAGATCACGTGACGCGGAAGCGCGGCGGGGCCCGGCGTCCACGGCTCCGGGCCGGGCTGGACTGATGCTGTCGGCCGGCGACGGCGGCCCACAGCTCATGGCTGGGCGTTCATTGCGCCACGCGGGAGCAAACCGGAGAAACACGAATACGGCTGCACCGCACCACCATACCGACGCTTTACACCGGACCGGACTCAATCCTACCCACCCGCACCACGCTGGGCCAAAGCGATGAAATCAGTACAGACCACACCGAACAGGACAATGGCCTAGTTCCGTAAAATGAAACTGATAGCATCCCAATGATTCAATGGGACCCCAGGGGTGGACGTATCGTTAACAACTTAACTTCCAACAAAGGCCTGCTTAACGAAGGTCAAACTCCAGAGTTTGAGCTCTGGAGACAGCGTGACAACTCTGCAGATCAAATCACAGACAAGAATGACCCGATTTAATGACATTTTTCCGAAGACCGTCCTGCACATTCCCGATAACTTGACGTGCACCTTACTTTTACGCAGTACCTTACTTTTACGCGTAGCATGGTCGCGCCAAGCGAGGCCGCAAGTATAGCACATCAGAGTAGGTCAGGGTTAATGAGATGACTCGGACCGGCTCGGCCGGACACTAGGTACTGAAGACCCACTGGTCCACTGAGGTGCTGACGATCCACTGATCCACTGGGGTACTGACGACCCACTGGTCCACTGAGGTACTGACGATCCACTGATCCACTGGGGTACTGACGATCCACTGGTTCACTGAGGTACTGACGAACCACTGATCCACTGAGGTACTGACGATCCACTGATCCACTGAGATACTGACAATCCACTGATCCACTGAGATACTGACGATCCGCTGATCCACCGAGGTACTGACGATCCGTTGATCCACTGATGTACTGACGATCCACTGATCCACTGAGGTACTAACGATGGTCCACTGAGGTCCTAACGATCCACTAGTCCACTGAGGTACTGACGATCCACTGATCCACTGAGTTACTGACGATCCACTGATCCACTGAGGTACTGACGATCCACTGATCCACTGAGGTACTAACGATCCATTGATCCACTGAGGTACTGACGATCCACTGATGCACCGACGTTCTGACGATAAGCTGGTTCACTGAGGTACTGACGATTGGCTGGTTCACTGAGGTACTGACGATTGGCTGGTCCACTGAGGTACTGACGATTGGCTGGTTCACTGAGGTACTGACGATTGGCTGGTCCACTGAGGTACTGACGATCCACTGATCCACTGAGGTACTGACAATCCACTGATCACTGAGGTACTGACGATCCACTGGTCCACTGAGGTAGTGACGATCCGCTGGTCCACTGAGGTACTGACGATCCACTGATCCACTGGGGTACTGACGATCCACTGGTCCACAGAGTTACTGACGATCCGCTGGTTCACTGATGTACTGACGATCAAACTGATCCACTGAGGTACTGACGATCCACTGGTCCACAGAGTTACTGACGATCCGCTGGTTCACTGAGCTGTTGCGTGATCCCGGCATCCACCAGCACCAACAAATTGCGTCCAGGGTCATCATTTGTTTCCAGGACGGCCATATTGTGGCAATCAGACGGGCTCTGATCAGATTGCGGCCGGCCGCGTCCCAGACGCCGTCCGCCCGACTGAGCCCAACAAGTTAATTGCAAGCGTTGTGGGCGGACACCAGCGCAACTGAGGCCGGGCGGACGGGGCGCCCGAGCCGGACCCCGGCGCCCGCCAGGTCCGGGCGTCGCTCCAGACTTTGGCGGCCAGAGGCGGAGTCGGAGCCCACCCCGGCGCGTCTTGCTGTGGGAGCGAGCCAGATGGATCCCTTTAAGGCGGGAGACGGCGCAACTTCAAAACCATCGCGCCCGCTGTGCCGGCGTGGGCGACGCGACCTGACCCACTGAGACGAAAATCATCGAAGCGCCTGGGGCAAGCCGCGAACAGCCTCGAGCTGGGATGTTCCGAGCACATCGGCCCTGGTTATTGGACTGTCGGCTGCACTGCAAAGCGAAAGAATACACAAGCACGGAATGATTTGGTGCTGGTCGTGTCGTAGCATGTCTGGAATACGAAAGCGGCGACACCAATTATTGAGAACAGGTCGCGCAGTCCCAGAAATGGCGTTCCGGCAGTGTAATCTATTTTCCGGATCCGTTCAGACGTCATTCGCTGCGCACGTCCGCCGGACGGCGCCGCCGGGCGACGGTGTTTTCCGTGTCAATAGCGTCCGGCCTGGGCGACGGAGGCCACGTCGAAGTGGTGAAAAGCCTGACGACACCGGCCTGACGACACTGATAGGCCTACAATGACCTGACGGCCATGACCTGCCGACAATGACCTGACGAACGAGACCTGCCGACAATGACCTGACGAACGAGACCTACCGACAATGACCTGACGAACGAGACCTACCGACAATGGCCTGACGACCGTGACCTGCCGAAAACGTCCTGTTGAGTTTGGCCTGCTAACAATGGCGTGCTGACAGTGACCTGAAGCCACTGGTCTGGCAGTGACACCTGCCATGGCGTCACTGGCCTAGCATCACCGACGCCCTGGTGCTGACCAGGCGAATGACCTGACCACATTGGCCCCATGGAGCCGGCCCGGTGACAATGACTTGAGGACGTTGATTTAACGGCACTGACCTGTTCACACTAACCTGACATTGGTTTGCTTATAATGGCCCGGGGCACTGACCTCCCTACACGAAGCTGACCCTGGTCGGCCAATCATTACCTAGCTACGCTGGCCTGCCCACCTGATCCGGCCCGTGCTCACACAGAAATGGGCTGCTTCCAGCCGTCAAAGGAACTATCTGCCGAGCTCAGCGATGCCTCGCACGTTCTCCGATGCTATACTTTTGCCGAGTAAGCCTACCGTCCGCAGCCTGGCCCGGGGACCGTGTCAGGCCGGCCGGCAGCCGTCATCATCCGGACATCCGCCGGACATCCGCTCACCGTCCTGGAGGGCGCCGAAGCCGCGCGACAGGCAGTCCACGTCCTCCTGCGGAATGCTGTACCGCAGCCTCTCGCCGTAGTTCTCCTCGACGACGGCGGAGGCAAACAGCTCGCTCACCAGTCGCTGCACCTGCGGAGGGACGGGCGCCAGTCAGCGGCCGGCCTGCCGCAACGGCCGGGCAGACGACCCGGCTTCGGCCCGAAAGGTGGCTGGCACACGGCTTGACGTGCGGGTGACAGACGGTCAACGGGTGGCCAGGGTAGAGCAGAGGCGCGGCCTGACAGACAGGCGGGAGACAGTCAACAGGTGTCCAGAGTAAAGCGGAAACACGGCCTGACAGACAGGTGACAGACGGTCAGTAGGTGTCCAGGGTAGAGCGGAAACACGGCCTGACGTGCGGGTGACAGACCGTCAAAGGGTGGCCAGGGTAGAGCGGAAACACGGCCTGACAGGCAGATGACAGGCGGTCAACAGATGTCCAGGGTAGAGGAGAAACACGGCATGACAGACGACCAGGTACGCGGATTGATCCACAACCCAACCGAGGAGTGGCGGAAGGCCTGCAGGCTCCAGTCTGTAGCATCAGCCACATGCTGCTATCTGTAGCATTAGCCACACATGATTCAGACACGTAAAAAAGCTATGCTGCGACCTCAGCGCGCAAGGCGGGCAACTGAAATGTAAGGCACACTACGATATCGCAGCTTGTCTAAAGATTCAGGCAAGTGAACCGCGCGCGACCTGTACACGGGCCACCTGAAATGGCACGGAGCCGTAACCAGCACCTGGCCCATAACTATCGTACTGTGCGAACGCGTGCGTTTGCGTGCGCTGGCGAGCCGGTGCGCGCTGCAACCATCCCCCCCCCCCTCTCCCCCCCCCCCCCCAGCTGTCCGCAAACCCGCGTGGCAGTCCACCTGGCCGGAACGGGCTGGAGCGGGCCGGCCGCCCTACCGTCTTCGTCGGCGGCCCGGCGGGGCGACAGGTCGGTTTCCATCTTGGTGGCGGCGCCGGGCTCGTTCCGAATAGATCGGGGCGCGCCGGCCGATAAATCCCCCGCCACGTGCCCACCGATGAGGAACGGCCGCCGCCGCGCACAGCCAATAAAGAGAACGAGGATGGATCGTCGGTGGAGACACCGCGCCGCCGCCCGTCTAAAGCGGCGGCCGTAAGGGCTGGCCGGACACGGCCGGCGGCGGCCGCGGAGGCTGGCCGGACACAGCCGGCGGCGGCCGTGAGGGCTGGTCGGACACGGCCGGCGGCGGCCGTGAGGGCTGGCCGGACACGGCCGGCGGCAGCCGTGAGGGCTGGTCGGACACGGCCGGCGGCGGCCGCGGAGGCTGGCCGGACACAGCCGGCGGCAGCCGTGAGGGCTGGTCGGACACGGCCGGCGGCGGCCGTGAAGGCTGGCCGGACACGGCCGGCGGCAGCCGTGAGGGCTGGTCGGACACGGCCGGCGGCACCCGTGAGGGCTGGCCGGACACGGCCGGCGGCAGCCGTGAGGGCCGGTCGGACACGGCCGGCGGCGGCCGTGGAGGCTGGCCGGACACGGCCGGCGGCGGCCGTGAGGGCTGGTCGGATACAGCCGGCGGCGGCCGCGAGTGCCACGCTTCGGCCTAATGGAACCGGCGAGAGCGGCGATGGCGCCGGGTCGGAGGGACTTCCGCTCGGACGCGAACGCTGCACACGGATGTGCCGGTCCTCCACGCGCGGGTCGGCCTTCCACGAAAGGTCCGGCTCCACAGGGATGCGCCCGTGTCTAAGACTGATGAGCCTCGCGAGATCCTCATCTATTTAACCGCGTCAGTTTGACAAGTTCAAGCGCCCAAAACTTCATGGTGACCTTTCTGGTTGGCCTGAGATGGAGCAGAGCGCTCGGGTGGTAGCGGTCCAGGACGGCCGTCGGGGTGTTGGGCCTGCCCCGGACCACCGGGCGGAGTCTGGGGTCGGCAGGCGTTGCCGCCTCACTCACCTTTTCTAGACGGTCGGCTACGTCAGCCGCAGGGCCGCTCACCAGCTTCATCTCCAGCACGTAGCCGCCGCCGTACTTGTTCTTTAGGTGCTGCGTCGAGCCCAGGCACCTTGAAACGGACGGCAGCGAGTCAGTCGGCCAGCGATAGGCTGTCCACAGGAGCAATCGATCCACCGCCCCAGGTGGCCGGTCTCCCCAAGACAAGAGGTTGTCTTTTTTCAGATTTAAGATTGATGTATCCTAGTTTACCCCATATCTGAGGTTGTTGCAGAAATCCTTGCGTGTTAGGTTACCAATCTAAAATAAGGTAAAATTACCTCGACGGTAACTTTTCCTCATGTGCCATGTTGCTCTTATTGCTTTCCTTTAAGCCTCACCAGCATTTTATGGATTTGGTGGATTTGGTGGATTATGTGTGATTACGTGATCATCACCGCACAAAATATCACAAACTTTATTAAGTTATGATTCGTCGATGATGTTTTAGATATGATGAGCTTCCTCCTGACGCTAAGGCTGCCGAACTCACCTCAAAGCTTCATGTCTAAGATTTTATTGGCCTCCGAAAATATGAGCGCTCAGAATTTCCTCCCAAGTCACGAGCAAAAGGACGTCAAAAAAGTTAGCTCAAGATCTTGCGTGCTCAAGACAAATATGGTCACGTCCTCCTGCACTTTATACAACTTCTTTCACCACGACAGATGTGGCGGTCACGCAGCTAAACTAGAGGTAGAACGAGACTCTCGAAGCCCCTGGATAGTCCCCAGAGTCACAGGCTTTCTCCGTGGCGGCATGCCTACTTAACCCGCCATACTGGACCATCCCGGTAAATCCATTTCCACCATCATATTCTTATTGAAGGTCCGTTATGTTTCAAAAGCACGTGACTTAAGTGCTGTTAGTGCAATATTAGCGCGGTGAAAGAAATCATAATGCAGTGACCATGGGCCCCCGGCCACGGCACGCGACCATAGCGCTGTGGGCCCGAGCCGACTGACACGACCCGTGGCCATCTGGGCATGTTCCGGGACAAGCTCAACCGGAACATACAGCCCCTGTCCAGTTATTACACCCTGTCACCCGACATTCTTTTTCGCCCCAGGTGGCATGAGCAAAGGCTCAATGGTATCTCTATTGTGTCCCTCAAAATGATCATCGCAGTCATTCAGTACATACACCGGCCGTTACCTCTCGAATCGTGCTCACGAACGCCCGATATGAGCGACTCGACTAATACATTTGTATTGGCCTTGATCGGCGCATGGCTATTGAACTAGCAGGATCTGAATGACGATATTATGGAGTTATGGATGCTCGGGTGAACTTGCAGTGAAACAGTCTCAACGATATATTGTGCACACCTTCACGGGTGTGTACCTCAGAAACTAGAGGGATTTAGATCTTAAGAAGGGCAGGGCTGTAAACTGCACCGGATGGTCTTCGAGGTGGTTATTTTAGTTCAAAACACCCCAAAATGTGGAAACTCCTTTTAAGTTGCAGAAATATTAGTGCTAAAAGAGTCTATTCATCTAATTATGCGCAAAAAAACGTGGCAAACATCATGATTCTTTCTTCTGGCAATACAAAACATCAATATTACTCGTGCTTGCGATAAAAACTCGACGTCGTATCACTAGTCAAATTGCAAGTGGTCGTGAACATGCATTTTAAGGGAATCGTGACGAATTGCATCATACATAACTATGTATTACGCTAATCCCACTGCCCCTCGTGCTCCCGGCTGGACACCGCTGGTGACGCCGCTGTTGTGACGGCACCGGGGCCGGGGCCGGGGCCGGGGCCGGGGCCGGGGACAGCACACAACGCACCTGAGACTGCCGCGCACCATGATACCGAGCCGCGTACAGAGCGCGTCCGCCTCCTCCATCGAGTGGGTGGTCAGGATGGCGCCCCGCTCGCCCTGGAAGCCGGCCGCGATCGTGTCCCAGAGGAAGCGCTTGGACTGCGGGTCCATGCCGGTGGACGGCTCGTCCAGCAGCACGATGCGTGGCTCGCCCAGCATGCTGAGTGCGTAGCTGAGCTTGCGGCGCGTGCCACCCGAGCAGTGTTGGCTGCGCTTTGCCGCGTGCTCGCCGACCTGCAGACCCTCGATGTAGTGCCGCGCCACCAGCTTCGACTGCGCGGCGGGAGGGGAGGAGCCGGTCAGGTGGGCAAACGGCGTCCACGGCCGACACGGGTCCACACGGCGCGTTCACAGCTGACGCGGCTCCACACGGCACGCATCGGATAGACATGACATGGGTCGAGAACTAAAGCGTAATTTGGCATCATCTGCACAGGTCCTAGGCGGCATTTAGGCATGCGGACGCGACATTGACACCATGCGATCACATTGTTAAACTCATTAACATCACCGACCTCATTTTAAACATTATCAACCTCACTATAAACATTATCAACCTCATTATTATCATTACCAAGCTATTAAGCTTCATCGACGTGCTGTGCTTATGGAGTGAAGGACACAAGCCTCGCGATTAACAAGTGATTAGCTCTGAAAGGATAACCCTCGCACTCAGGACGCCTTTGGTGGTCTTGGCTCAAGTTTGGCGGAGAATCTACAACATCTGACCTCTCGACATGTATTGCCAAACTTATGACCAAGTTTACAATGACCGCAAGGAAGCCTGCTCCATATTCCTCAGCTACTTTCTGTTGAAGCGATCTTTGGGGCCACAGGCGGTGTATGCGCAACATCTTAAACGTTTACGCATGAGCAACTTTTCCATGACGTGGGTAACACGCCTACTCTGGGAACAAAACCACCAGCCCGTGCACTCCCGTCCCCTCATCTCACGTCATCAGCAGCCATTCGACGTCATCACCGTCCGAGTCCTTACAAAAACACAACGGTGTCCATCTCAAAGCAAAGTTGCTAAGGGCGCGATCACTAATGGCGGAGCTTCTTCGACCCGTGTGGGTGGTGGCTGATAGGGATAAGGTCAGTCAGGGTGACCGGGCGGGACAGGGCATGTCAGATAGGGGTAGGGTACGGCCCAGCAAGGCAGCCCGAGGCTAAGCATGACACGACGAAACAAGCAGAGGCAGAGCAGGGACGGGCCGGGCAGAACAATGCCAGGCATATGGAATGACACTTTTTCGGTAGCATTGAACCATGAACAAAAATCGAGCGAATAGTTCCCAGAACTTTGGGATGCCACGAGATGGGCGCGGCAGGGTCATGCGTTAGAGCAGCGCAGCGTAGGGCGAGATGTGGTCACACACGGGGGTGGGGCGGGGCAGTCCAGCTCCGAGCCCGGCGGCGTGAACAGGGCAGGCGGGTTGCCTCACATCAGCCGGTGAGATGCCCCGGATCTGGGCGAAACACTGCAGGTGCTCCTCCACGGTGATGAATCTCCACTGAGCGTCGAACTGGGGGCAGTAGCCGACCTTGCTGAACGCCTCCGACAGACTGTCGGTGACCAGGCTGCCGGCGATGGCGATCTGTGGAGACGGGGCGGGTCAGGACCGGCAGGCGCGCCGTCCTCTCCCTCCCCTCCGACGGCTGATGGCCAGTCACAGCTCCAGCGCAAGACAGCTAGCCAGCAGCCAACTCGAGCCAAGTCGCCAGTGGCAGAGCGGCCGCATTTAGAGACGAGTAAAGTGCCGTGAGGCAACGTGTTTGCCGACTGAATGTATGCCTGGCCGTTTTATTTTGTCATTTTTGATGAGTACATACCATAGCTTTGTCACAACACACTGGCAGCCTGGAATATCGTCTACAATAGCTACCATGGAGAGGCTGAGACAATACGCTATCAGGCTGGACAGCAACAGCTAAACAAAGCCGCACAGACACTAGTGAACAATCATTTGACAACGAAGCACGATCCGTGGCGCTAGTGGTCACCCAGTACCGAACTGTTAGAACACGCCAAGACATCCACATTTGAGGAGAAACCACAACAAACTAGCCAAACAGAATCACGTTGAGAGACCCGATTCTTCTCTCGTGTTGTTTTTTCACATTGACGGCACCGGCTCTGACCACGATTGTTTCCACCACGTCGACGCGGCATAAACTTGTCAGAACTGGCTGCATCGCCACTTGTTTGAATAGATACCAGCTGCTAGAGTTTCCAGCGCCACAAAGGACCGTCGAGCGAGAAGTCAACAAGCCGCCGTGTGACACCCGCAGTCCGGGCGGCGACAATAGCCGGCCGGTCCGAAAACCGAGAACGATTCTCGCCTCCGTTGTGACTTCAGAGAATGAGCTGAGAAGCCACACGGTCAAGGTCCCGCGTCACATGGCTCACGGCCAAGGTCCCGCGTCACATGGCTCACGGTCAAGGTCCCGCGTCACATGGCTCACGGTCAAGGTCACGCGTCACATGGCTCACGGTCAAGGTCACGCGTCACATGGCTCACGGTCAAGGTCACGCGTCACATGGCTCACGGTCAAGGTCCCGCGTCACATGGCTCACGGTCAAGGTTCCGCGTCACATGGTTCACGGTCAAGGTCCCGCGTCACATGGCTCACGGTCAAGGTCCCGCGTCACATGGCTCACGGTCAAGGTCCCACGGCACATGGCTCACGGTCAAAGCCCCGGGTCACACCGCTCACGGTCAAGGTCCCGCGTCACATGGCTCCGGAATTTCAGCTCTGGTCTCGATTTTTCGTGAAACGGACACTTAACGGGAAACTGTTCACCCAGCTGCGACAGCAACGAATGGAAACGGAGGGTGCCGGCAAGTCCCAGCGTACACAGTTGATGGCACTGCCCAGTGTACACGGGTGACGGCAATGCCCAGTGTACACGGGTGACGGCACTGCCCATGTACACGGGTGACGGCACTGCCCATGTACACGGGCGACGACACTGCCCAGTGTACACGTACACGGCACTGCCCATGTACACACGTGACGGCACTGTCCAGTGTACACGGGTGACGGCACTGCCCGTGTACACGGCTGACGCACTGCCCTGTGTACACGGGCGACGGCACTGCCAAGTGTACACGAGTGACGGCACTGCCCATGTACACGGGTGACGGCACTGCCAAGTGTACACAGGTGACGGCACTGCCCACGTCCACGGGTGACGGCACTGCCCTGTGTACACAGGTGACGGCACTCCCCTGTGTACACGGGTGACGGCACTGCCAAGTGTACACGGGTGACGGCACTGTTCAGTGTACACGGGTGATGGCACTGCCCATGTACACGGGTAACGGCACTGCCAAGTGTACACGGGCGACGGCACTGCCCAGTGTACACGGGGGATGGCACTGCCCATGTACACGGGTGACGGCACTGCCCAGTGTACACGGGTGACGGCACTGCCAAGTGTACACGAGTGACGGCACTGTCCAGTGTACACGGGTGACGGCACTGCCCGGTGTACACGGGTGACGGCACTGTTCGGTGTACGCGGGTGACGGCACTGTTCAGTGTACACGGGTGACGGCACTGTTCAGTGTACACGGGTGACGGCACTGCCCGGTGTACACGGGTGACGGCACTGTTCAGTGTACACGGGTGATGGCACTGCCCATGTACACGGGTAACGGCACTGCCAAGTGTACACGGGCGACGGCACTGCCCAGTGTACACGGGTGATGGCACTGCCCATGTACATGGGTAACGGCACTGCCAAGTGTACACGGGCGACGGCACTGCCCAGTGTACACGTACACGGCACTGCCCATGTACACACGTGACGGCACTGTCCAGTGTACACGGGTGACGGCACTGCCCGGTGTACACGGGTGACGGCACTGTTCAGTGTACACGGGTGGCGGCACTGTTCAGTGTACACGGGTGACGGCACTGTTCAGTGTACACGGGTGACGGCACTGCCCGGTGTACACGGGTGACAGCACTGTCCAGTGTACACGGGTGACGGCACTGCCCTGTGTACACGGGTGACGGCACTGTCTAGTGTACACATGTGAAGCCATGTCCGATTATTCGCTTCACGGCATGTCTGGCATACTTTCCTTGTGACTGTATTAGTCCACGTGCATTCTGTCGCCCGACACTCGATGCAATCCGCGCATGCAATGGCATTCTTAAGAACGGGACACCCATGTCTGGTCAACGATGTGTACACAAGTGTGGCGTGGGCGATGCCTCCAGCACCACATTTTTGGCCATATCACTATGTGCGGGTCGTTACAAAGCGATTTTAATACGTCTTGATACGGCCATGGCCCGTGGCTAGTTGAGATCAATACGGAGTTCAGATTACTCGTTTACTGAAGTAGGTCGCAAACGCATGTCGTGAGCTGCCCTCAGCAAAGGGGCTCCGTATGCCAGCGAAAAAGTACGATTTTGTGTTACTTGGTCCCAAGTGTACGAAATAAATTTGCATGGCATGTCAACAGATGACCCCATGGAACAAAACCGTGCACCATTTCCGTCCTTACGCGCACAGGCTGTGTCTGTGACTCTTGGACCACCCGCGGGTCTAGCGGCAATAGAGTGTATACCGGCCACCTACCGCCCGAATGAACATCGTGCGCTTGTTGACCCAGCACCCGCCGCCGTCTGACCACACACCGCGGGACATTGTACCCGTGGTGACGGCAACACAGCGCCGCTTGGGCCCAACGGCCAACACTATATGAGCCTACAATGGCCGCTCGAGCAGGCTGAGAAGACAAAGGGCGCCAGTATCACGCAGCGAGCACGAGAGCGGCGTGATGCGGCGGAGCCCATCGCCGGCTACGTCAGAGCCCGCTGCCGAGTACGGCAGAGCCAACCGCCGGCTGCGGCAGAGCCCGCCGCCGGCTACGGCACAGCCCGCCGCCGGCTGCGGCAGAGCCCGCCGCCGGCTGCGGCGGAGAGCGCCGCCGCCGCTGGCGCGCCTCACCTGGCCGCGCGTCGGCGCCTCCTCGGCGATCACCATGCGCATGGTGGTGGTCTTCCCGGCGCCGTTGGGCCCCAGCAGGCCGAACACCTCGCCGGCGTCGACGGCAAAGCTGACGCCGCCGACGGCGCGGAAGACGCCGCCGTCGTCGCCCTTCTCCTTGCTCTGGCTGGGGTACAGCTTGGTGAGGTCCTGCGGTGAGACGGCGCCGCGTCACACCGCGCCGCCAGCGATGCGAGACGAGTCACGGTTACTTGTCGGCAGGGACACGGTTGCGCCGGGCGCAATGGACTCAGAATGGCCTCCTATGTGACCCAATGAGTCCGTTGTACCGTGGTGGTTAAGTGTTGGTATTGGGAAGGTCCCAACTCCAGGCTGGCCACCACTGAGCTGAAAAATTTGGTCCCTGCCGCGACATAGTTCGACCGCTAACCCAAATAGCATAGCTGAGAGCACTTCTTGTGCGACCCAATCAGATTCATCGTACATCAGCATCATTGTCGTGCAAACGTATCACACTTGAAAGGTCATTAAACATCAAGGTCAGGGCAGGTAGCAAGATGGCCTCGGATAGCCTCACAGTGCACCTGAGGAGTTACCATGACGTGCTTTGAACCGCATTCGCTGTACTCGACCCACAGACGCAAAGCTATGCTGGGACGGCTAAAACGTAGTTCGCCCTTCTTCGAATCGATGTGGCAGGTCAACGGGTAGGGATGCTGGAGAAAAAAGTTGCAGACCATATACGGCCTACTGCCTAGTTGCTTTATAGTTTCCTCCGGTCTGTCCAGTACGGCATCGGCAGGTGTCTGCCACCCCCCCCCCCCCCCCTTCCCCCCCCCCCTGCCCCCACACACTCCACTACGATGCGGAAGACGCCGAGACCGGCGAAGGCATCTAGAGCTGTGTTAATCTTGAGCTGTTTTAGATGCATCAAAGACAGTGCGGATTGGGATGGGACGGAGCTATACGAGGGAGGCGAGATTCCCAAGACCTACGTCGATGCGTGCTAAGAGGGCTTGTCGCGATCTTTTTTGTCGAAACACGCTAGTGCTTTGTTTCGGCGAGGGCACAACGACTTCGAAATGTGACCAACAACCTGACGCTGGCTATTCCGAGCACATATAGCGGACGCCTCGGACGAATGGGCTTGGGCACATCCGATCAGCTTGAGCCGCCGCTCACCCGCAAAACTGAGGCTCACTAGCGAAGAGAGCTGGGTACGGGCGAAGGGGACGAGCTTAGCAACCGCTGCCGCATACGTGACAGGTGACTGCCAGTCGGCAAGCGAGTGGTTACGGGAGAGAAATGAACGAAGCGACAAAATCAAGAGGATAAGCTACTAGCTTCTGGTATCAGAACTTAAAAGCCTTTCCGCTTACGAAACGCAACTTTCCTTAAATAAACTACGATTTTACTATACAACTTTTGCAGTGACAAATATGTGGCTTAGCTATACGCCAAACACCCGTTGAGATCAAGCCCCGCATGGACGGCACCCAGACCAGGCGAGTATTAACCAGGGTCCAGCGCGGCCGACGCCTCACTCCGCCGTGTGCGGGGCTGACCTGGGCGGCGATGACCGGCGCAGGGCCTGCCCACTGGCCGGACAGTATGTCCTGCACGCGCCGCTCCTCGTGCAGCACGTCCTCGTCGGGAGCCGCACCGCCCGACGACCTCGCCGCCTCCAGCCCGACCAGGCCGCCCTTCCGACCCTGCATAGGGACAGCACCAGCCACACGGTCAGCGGGCACGGTCAGCGGGCACGGTCAGCGGGCACGATCAGCGGGAATGGTCAGCGGGCACGGTCAGCGGGCACGATCAGCGGGCATGGTCAGCGGGCACGACAGAGGGCACGGTCAGCATGGACACTCAGCGGGGACGGTCACCAGGGTCCTGGGCCTGGGCCGGCCAGAAGGGCCAATCGACCCAAACGACTAGCGTAGGGCAGCATTCAAGACAGAGGGTCAGAAGGTAACAGCGGCGGAAGGCTCGATTAACAGCCCATGTGGACAGTCGGCGGTGGCAGCCAAGGTGTCCGACAGCGCAAGAGACACACGCTTCAGTGGGCAGCGCGGCAATGGCACACACCATCACGCATGCGCACAAGCCGGTAAAAGGCATCCGCATAGGCGCGTAAAACGTCCGTAGAGCGCACGCCGCCCACGTACCCGGCGCGGCAGACAGCTCGGTATGTTGTCCAGGCCGTTTTTCTTGGCGTCGACGCGGCGCAGGACGAACCAGAGCAGCGGAATCTGCACCAGCTGCACCAGCATCGGCACCAGAAACACTGGTTCGCTCCAGTAGTCGCTGTAGTCGGGCGCCCGGTTCTCAAGCAGCCTCACCATCACGTACGTCTGTGGACGCGCGGGGCGGCGGTACTGGTCACCACGCAACGGCGGCCGAGGCGGCCAGCGGCGCGCGCGCGGCGGCGGGAGTCACTCCCGGCGGGTCCACAGCTCGACGACGCGGTGAACTGCGCTCGTCTGCGCCGCCCGACATCGACACAGTTCACAGCGCAGGAGGCCAACGGGGGTTCATTAGCCGTGCTCGACACCGTACCGGGGCCGGCGCTGAAGCCGGTGCGGCCGCAGATGCACTGTGGCGCGTCCCACGCACCGGCCAGGAGCGGCTGTGCTGCGCGCCGCGCCGGCGCCAGTCGACCGAGCCGTCTCACCTTGGAGAGGAAGTAGAGCGCCCCGCAGGGCAGGTAGAACGGATCGATGACGGTGAACACGTAGTGAAGCGGCTCGGCCACGTTGGATTCCGGCACCAGTGAGTCCAGCAGAGAGACCAGCATGTACGGCAGTATGCCGCACATCATGGCCAGGTTGGGGTAAACGGACATGGCAGTCTCCATCTTGTCGAACAAGTAAGAGCAGATGCTGGCGAAGAGCAGGCCGACCACCGTATACTCCAGGTACAGCATGGCCAGCATGGTGAACGCAGGTCCGGAGGAGAGCAGCTCGACCGAGGCGGCTTGCACCACGATCAGCATGATGGCCCTGCCGGGCGGGAGGCACGCGTGACCACCGGCGTCCGGACCCGACAGAACAGAGCGGGTCAACGGGTCACGACCCGACAGAACACAGGGGGTCGACGCGTCATGACTCGACAGAACATAGCGGGTCGACGCGTCATGACCCGACAGAACAGAGGGGGTCGACGCGTTACGACCCGACAGAACAGAGGGGGTCGACGCGTCACGACCCGACAGAGCAGAGCGTGACGACGCGTCACGGTCCGACAAAACAGCGTGTCGACGGCAGAACGAGTCGCCGGAACTCGGCGACCGGTGGAAAGACGTAGGTCAAGAGACGGCGACATCTCGCCGATGTGACCCACTGCGAGCGGCAGCTGCGTCTCTCGGGAGCAGACACGGCCGTCGGCGGCGGCGGGCACCGCTCCGTCCGCAGTCGCGCCCCGGCCTCCGGCGCGGAGTGGCAGCGAGCCAGAGACGCCCGGCTCGGCTGCACGTACCACAGAATGACGAACAGCGTGATCATCACGATGAAGAAGGACATGAAGTACGTGGTGAAGCTCAGGCCGTTCACGCGAAGCTGGTTTCGAATCTTCAGCTGGAACCAACGACGCGTGCTTAGTACGATTCCGCACTAGCTGTTCGCCGTAATGCCAGGACATAGTACCACAAGAAATGCGCACTGCTGCGACCAACTGGGAGATATAGCCAGCGATAGTGGCACGGTCAGGAATAGCTGCTGCTTGGAAAATGGAATAACGTGACTGTTTTATAAAAGGGGACGAAACATGACCACAACAGTGGTGACGGTACACCAGTAATATGGTAGAGACAGCCCAGTTCCCCTACCAGCTATGATGAGAGTGTCGCATGGCGCGAGACAGCAGGAAGTGGAAAAGAATGAGGCAAGGCGTGTTAGGAAAATCCTGCAAGAACGGAGAGCAACGGTAACAATGCTTTAGGCCCATAGCCGCTTCAAATGCTTGGCAAAAAAGAAGTTTCCAGCAGCCCGTGAGACCAGGAGGCGAGACCCTCTCTTGGTTACATCGGACAGCTCCGTGGCCACACCGAGATGGACGACTACGCAGGGCCACAGAGGCAGCACGCACCTCCCGCTCCTGGACCAGCTCGATCGCGATGTTGCACGGCACCAGCAGGAAGAGGAAGCCGACCATGAACGCTGAGGAGAAGACGCTGCCGTCGAAGGAGGCGGTCTTCTGCGAGTTCAGAAGAGGCTTGGAGAACACCGTGAGCCGCGACGAGGCGTTGTGCGCCGACTGCAACAGAGCTCTGAGGCCACGCGGGGACGCCGGCGTTACAGCGGGCTGGAGTGGCGCGTGTCCAGACACCATCCGGTGTCAGGATGTAGGAGCGCGCGACTCCCCACACTCTGAGCAGCACAAGTCGACCAGCACTGTGACTGTTTCGCGATGCGGCCGGTGTACTTACAGGCTATCGTGAACAAGCTACAGCGCGGAGAAAACTCGAGCTGGTCGCTTCGACCCGACTCCGCTACCAATCCTGGTATTACTGGCTCAACCGCTGGTGCTCTACCTAGTACCTGAGCCAGCCGCTGACTCTGCCCCGGTACCCGAGTCAGCCGTTGACTCTGTCCCGGTACCCGAGTCGGCCGCTGACCCTGCACGATACCTGAGTTGACCGCTGACTCTGCCCCGGTACCCGAGTCGGTCGCTGACTCTGCCCGGCACCCGAGTCAGTCGCTGACTCTGTCCCGGTACCCGAGTCGGCCGCCGACTCTGCCCGGTACCTGAGTCGACCGCTGACTCTACCCCGGTACCCGACTCGGCCGCTGAATGCGACCCTGCCCCAATACCTCAGCCGGCCGTTGTTGAGGGCGTTCAGTACGATGGCGGGCGAATGGGGCGCCTGGTCATGCAGTACAGCGAGCGCCTGGTCGGCGGCCGACAGCGTCAAGCCAGCCAACGCGTGGTTGTCGTCCACCAGCGAGAGGAAGCTGCCGTTGTAGGGTCGCGAATCCATGGCCCAGCCGTCCAGCACCGCCGTCTCCACATCGTAGCCGGAGACGTTGTGGTACAGCAGGTGGTAGTCGTCGTACATGTCTGCGGGGATGGCAGCGGGCGGACGTCTGTCCGCTGTCGGTACGACGGCCAGTGCTCAGACGCACCAGGGATCGGCCTGGCTGTCAGCCAACCCTGCGCCTTTGACCAGGCTGAGGCTAAGCCTGCGCCGCATGACATTCGAAGATTTGCCGGTCTTTTTGATGGCTTTGACACCGCCGGGTCAAACGGCGCCCCCGGGCGCAGGGGTGCAGTACCCAGCAGGAGCATTCTCAAATATCGAGGTCCGCCGCAGCGCGACCTAGACCGACACCAGACCACGGTCAGAGGGATGCTCCGGACAGACCCGCTCACCAGGTCCCAAACGGAGTGACCCAGACCGACACACCAGACCACTGTCAAAGGCAGGGTCCGGACAGACCCGCTCACCAGGTCCCGAGCGGAGTGACCCAGGTCGACACAACAGACCACGGTCAGAGGGAGGCACCCGACAGACCCACTCACCAGGTCCCAAGCGGAGCGTGGTTTCGCCGCCGCCACCGCCGCCGCTCGAGCCCCTGTTCACCATCAAGCCGCCGACCATCAGCGCCGCCGGCATTATGATCACGAAGATTATGGTGGCCGGGACACGGAGCAGGTTCAGCACGCGGACCTTGAGAAGGGCACGTATGGCGCGGCCGATGGACGGCTGGACGGCGACGGCGGGCGCCGCGACCGGCGCTGCGTCCCGCTCGCCCAGCTGCACCGTCTCGACGCCGCTGTCGCAGGACGAGCGGCCGCCGGCCGAGAACGAGGACCGCTCGCCGGCCGCCGACAGCTGGCTGTCCGGATCCATCTCAGACAGGTGCAGGAACACCTACAGCCGCGGACGGGGGTCAGCGGGTGGGGCCACCACCAGGCCGGCCGGCCGGCGCCAGGCATGACACAGGCTAACCGCCAATCACCGGACAGCCCAGGCAGATCAACAGTCGGATGGAGGCTTACGCGGACCGGCTGTCATCGGACGTTCGTGACCCCCCCCCCCCCCCCCTCCTCCGTCGGCAGGACGAAAAACTCACCTCTTCCAGGGTGGTGAGTGATATGCCAAAGCTCTGGACGCCCAACTGCGTCTGCCGCTTCTCCAGATCAGCAAACAGCTCTGGGAACTGGCTCACCTGTAGGCAGCCAGCACACATAGCCCTGAAACCCTGCGTCCGGACGACCGGGCCGGCACCAACTCCTCTCCCATGACAGTGGTCGGATCGGCTCCACCCCCCCCCCCTCCCCTGACGTGGTCGGGCCGGCACCAACCCCTCTCCCATGACAGTGGTCGGGCCGGCACCACCCCGTCCCCCCTGACAGTGGTCCGGCTGGCACCACCCCCTCTCCCCTGACAGGGGTCGGGCCGGCACCATCTCTTCTCCCCTGACAGGGGTCGGGCTGGCACCACCCCCTCTCCCCTGACAGGGGTCGGGCTGGCACCATCCCTTCTCCCCTGACAGGGGTCGGGCCGGCACCACCCCCTCTCCCCTGACAGGGGTCGGGCTGGCACCATCCCTTCTCCCCTGACAGGGGTCGGGCCGGCACCATCCCTTCTCTCCTGACAGTGGTCGGACCGGCTCCACCCTCTCTCCCCTGACGGTGGTCGGACCGGCTCCACCCTCTCTCAGAACGTTGATCCTCTTTCGTCGGGTGGGCCACGTATCCAGCAGGTACAGATGTAAATGCCCTACGAGCCGGGACCTGAGCGGGCTGGTGGGCTGTGGAGGTCGCTGGCCAAATTCCGACGCAACTTTCAAAGTCCATCCCGTTAAATGCCTACGTATTCCAACATTTCACCTGCCGCTTTTGGGCTAGATGAGCTTCAGCCCGATTCCCAGTGGGATATCGTACAACAAACCGACGAGCTTTCCAAAAAATGCATCCCTGTTGTACGGGCACGCCATACCCTTCCGCTGCATTGGGCCACAAAAAGGGTGTTCTGAGCAAATGTGGTTGAAAATATTGACACTGCGTGGACAACTAAGACACTTTCAGAATACAAAGTAAACATCACAAGCCGACACACGCAACGTTTAACAACTCAAGACAACGCAAGGCAGCTTAAGGGAATAGCATGCATTCGTACCGATGTCGCTCATGAATGACCCAAAACACGGGACCACGACAGCAAACACCAAACGTTTGTTCAGCAAGGCCACTTTCTTTCCAGTCCTGAGCACATTCGTCCGCTGGAACGGTGGCGTGAGTGGCAGGAGCGGCAAATGGGACACGTGCCATCGGTTATGAGCGCAGGAGCAGCAGACAGGGCGCGTGCCACCGGTCGCTACTGACCGAAGCCATGGGCAGCACGAAGCTCAGCTCGTTGCCGTGTGAGCGGCCGCTCTCTCGGTCGGGCACGTGCGAGGCGACGATCCGGTCCAGGTCCTCCTCGCAGGCCGTGGCGCCCCGCACGACCCTGCCGCACCGAGCACGGTCACGCGCCGTTTGTGGCGAAGGAAGCCGAGAGTCTCCCAGCACAACGTTCAATGTGGGTGCCCGACAGTTTCCCAGCTGGGTTACAGGGACTGACGACGTGGCATGACATCAGTATTCATTTTGCAGACAGGGAAGGCTGCCCACATGCCTTAGCTGCCCCGTACGGATGCACCCCGCATGTCTTCGCTGCCCCGCACGGAGGCTGCCCGCATGCCCTCGCTCCCCCGTACGGAGGACGCCCAGGTGGTCGACCGCCGTTGCTCACGCGGAGCGGTTCCTCACGTGAGGTGGTAGCCCAGCCCGAAGCGGTTCTTGAGGAACATGGAGGAGCCGCAGCAGCGGAGTCGGCCAGACGACACGACGGCCTTCCGGTCAGCCAAGATGTCGGCCTCGTCCATGAAGTGGGTGGTGAGCAGCATGAGGCGGCCCTTCTTGCGCCTCTGCAGCAGGCTCCACATGTGCCGGCGCGAGTACGGGTCCACGCCAGCCGTCGGCTCGTCCAGGATCACAATGCGCGGGTCACCGATCAGCGCCTGACCTGGGGTTAGCAAGGGTTACGATCACGGAGCAATCGCTGAACTGGGGTTAGCAGGGGTCAGGGGTCTGACGGTGCCCGACTAATGCCTGTCCTAGGACCGCTAGAACCCACCGACGCTTGCGGAGAGGTCTCAATAGGAGCCTGGTCGACCGGCCAGCGCACCACACACGCTCCGGTCCTCAGATGGCCGCTGGCGGGCGCCGCAGGGCGCCACGGGATTCCCACCCGGCCGCTGAATCTGGTGAGACACGCGGATAGCGGAGGCCGCGGTGCCGCCCGGCCGTGGCTCGCAGTACTCACCGACCGAGAGCTTGCGCTTCTGGCCGCCGGATAGGCCGCGCACCACCTCGTCCGCCTTCTCGCTCAGGTCGACGTCGGCCAGGGTCGAGTTGACCTCGGCCTCCACACGCTCGGGTGCGACGCCCTGTCGGAGTCGGGTTGGCCCCGGTCAGTCAGGTCAGGTCAGGTGTCCCGGTAAGGTCAGGTCAGGTCAGGTCAGATGTCCCGGTCAGTGCGATCGAGGCAGGTGCCCCGGTCAGGTCAGGTCAGGTCAGGTCGGCAGCTACTCCCTGCGGCTGACGGCTGAGCGCCAGCGAACGGCGCCGGCCGCCCTCGAGCCACGGTCCACACCAAGCGCGCGACACTGACCTGAGTTATCACGAACATCGACAACACACACGGCTGCAACAGACGGATCTCGTGTCCCACTCCGAACCAATTCAATCCACCTCACTCCGTGAATTGTCGCGGTGCAGGCTGTTTGTCTGCGGTGCAGGCGCTTTCGGTCAGTCTAAATAATAAGCACGTGCGTCCGACCGGCAGACGGTGTTCTCTGGTGCCGTCTGTGTGCTTCAGCAGCCTGAGTGGCGCAGCGGCGGAACCTATGCGTGACAGCGCAGCCGGTGTGGCTCTGCGCCGGTGGCGGACGGCGGCACAGACCCGGAGCATCGCCAGGAAGGCGAGGTGTTCGCGCGGCGTCAGGTCGTCCAGCAGGATGTCGTGTTGCGGACACAGACCGATCATGCCCCACAGCTCGCGTATATCGGCTGGGTCCCTGTCGGTCACACGGGCGCCGGTGTCAGCCGGGCGGCCACAGCTCACTGACCGTGCTCGTCGGCGGCTACGCAGACCGGCGCCGCCGGCAGCTCTCTCGCCACGACATCTACGCACAATCCACCATCCCGTCACCAGCCAGCACCGCCGCTTACACGCGTTTTCCACGCGCAGCTGTGCCGGCCGCCGCGAGACGTGTCTGACCGTTGGATGCGTTAGGGTTAGCACTACCCCACGCTGGGGTGCGGCAGGCAAGGCTGGGGCCAGTCCTGGACTGTCCCGTTTGGGGCGCGGGTGTAGGCGGTACCCACGTGATGTCCAGGCCGTATATGGTGGCCGTGCCTCCGGTTGGCATGGTGAGACCGGTCAGCATGTTGAAGAAGGTGGTCTTGCCGGCGCCGTTGTGGCCCAGGATCGCCGTGATCTGGTCCTCGTACATGTCCAGACTCAGGTCTGCGGCGGGAGAGGGACGAAGGCGTCATACGGTCGGCCGACACACGCGGGCCAAGCGGCGGGGAGGGCCTCGCACCGACAGAGCGACGGACGTGCCTCAGGCCGGGCCTGGCGCCCCGCCGCACCACAGCAGCTCGGACAGTCATCGCTACCACCGGCCAGTGCAGCCCATTGCCCAAAATGCTCTGAGAGAAGAACACGAGCTGTTCTGAGCAGGCTGCGGACGGCAGGCGGCCGGTGCCGGAGACGCCCGCCCCGCCCCTCCCTCCTCCTACCCGGAGCCGCCCGCCCCGCCCCTCCCTCCTCTCACCCGAAGCCGCCAGCACCGCCTCTCTCCTCCTCTCACCCGGAGCCCCCACCCCGCCCCTCCCTCCTCTCACCCGGAGCCGCCCACCCCGCCCCTCCCCTCTTCTCATCCGGAGCCGTCCACCCCGCCCCTCCCTCTTCCCACCCGGAGCCGCCCGCCCCCCCCCCCCTCTCTCCTCTCACCCGGAGCCCCACCCCGCCCATCTTCCCTCCCCTCACCGTCGACAGCCACCACGGTCTCGCTCTTGGTGTGGAATTCCTTCCTGAGTGCCAGCACACGCAGCGCCAGCTTGCTCTTGACCTCGGCTGACACGGGCTCCACGTCGGCATTAGTGGCCTCCTGATCCACAGACACGTACTGCGAGTCGGTGTCCTGCAGCAGCTGAGGGTCGGGAGACGGGAGGGGTTAGACACCCGCGCCGTGAGGCCCGGGCTACGCCGAGATCCCCATCTGGCCATCCTCCCCACAGAGGGACATCACGCTGGGTGGAGACACGGGCTGGGCCGCGACCTCAGTCTAGACATCATGCTGGACAACTCTGTAACACAGACTCTACCACCACATAGGTGAACACCACACACCACAGCTGTCGAACAGCACACCGCCGCTTGAGGAACACCCCCGGTGGTGTGGTGCGACGCGTTCACAAGCCACCGAACAACCGCTCATGGGTCTCGGTCTCACCATAGTCTTGCTCGAGCCCATCCAGTAGGACTTCTTGAAGATGAAGAACACCGACTCGCGGCGGCCATACTCGTCTGAAAGACAGCGAGGTAAGACAGCGCAGACAGGAAAGACAGTGCAGACAGCGAGGTACTGCACCGTCTCGCGGAGCCGAAGGGTCGCACGGCAGTACCGATTGCATCATGGCGTACTAATCCAGGGGGCGCTTTACGTCAAAGAACTCGGTGGCCTTGGGGGTGTATCGACGGAGGGTGTGATTACTTAACGGCAGACGTTTCACTTGCGCAAAAGCGATGTAATTGGACTCGCAGGGTCCAGGCAGCAAACTCCGCGCAGTCACGTACTGGGCAGGACGTTGTCGAGGTAGAACGCCAGGAAGGCGTACAGCAGGATGTCGAGGCAGATCATGAGGATGCAGCCGCCGAAGGGCACGCTTCCATCGGCCACCCAGACGTTGCCTGAGTTCAGGCCAATCTTGCGGGTGTCGAGATCGACCGCCTGTAGGTGGCAGACGCAGTGGCCGGGCGTTCAGCCGTGTGCTCAGCACAGGGCGCAGACGGCGGCCGGGCGCGACAGGGTGCGGCCGCGTCACTCGGCCATCGTGACATGAGTGCGGTACAGGCATCGCGCAAGATCACAGATCGAGATCGGTGATCACATCTTGTCAATGACAACGTTATGATCAAATGGTTGAAGTGTGAGGGAAAGATCTATCATCACGAGGCGGTGATCTTCAGCCCAGCGCAGCCCCAGACGATCGACCCCCGGCCTTCAGGCACAACGTACTCAGTGGCCCGTCGATCAGGCAGCAGTCAGACTGATCCGACGCCAGTCAGGCCGAGCGACCCAGTCAGACTGAGCGACCCACAGTCAGACTGAGCCGACGACGGTCAAACTGAGCGACCTACAGGCAGACTGAGCCGACGCGTCAGACTGAGCGACCCACAGTCAGACTGAGCGACCCACAGTCAGACTGAGCGACCCACAGTCAGGCTGAGCCGACGACGGTCAAACTGAGCGACCCACAGTCAGACTGAGCCGACGACGGTCAGACTGAGCGACCCACAATCAGACTGAGCCGACGACGCTCAGACTGAGCGACCCACAGTCAGACTGAGCCGGCGACGGTCACACTGAGCCGACGACGGTCAAACTGAGCGACCCACAGTCAGACTGAGCGACCCACAGCCAGACTGAGCCGACGGAGGTCAGACTGAGCGGCCCACAATCAGATTGAGCCGCCCACGGTGGGCCCGTCAGCCCCGTCGGGCCGGCCGCCTGTACGACCCTACAGCTGCGCGGTCCGCGGCGGCCGGCTCACCCGTCCGATGCCGAAGGTGAAGGCGAGGGGACTGAGCAGCGAGAGCACCCAGAACACCCACGCCGGCAGCTGATCCATGAACACTTGCAGCAGGAACAGCAGCGAGATGACGGTGACCGCCAGGTTGCCGATGCCGCCGGCCACCTGAGCCAGGGGGAGGGCGTTATTCAGCGGCGGAGCCAGTCGCACACTACCTCGTGCGTAGGGACCGTTCAGCTGGCGCGGGCGCATGGCCACTGCCCTCCCTCGGCATAACAACGACAAGGAGCTGGCGCAAGGCCGGGTCAGCCAGTCGGCATTATCAAACCAGACCTTGTCTATAGCGGGGCATGATAACGCGCGGTTCGCTGCCCACGCGTCTTCATTGATACGCCAGTTCGGTGTCACATCCACGCAGCGGTAACAAGTGTTCTACTTTTACTTGCCACTTGGGTCAGTGGCTGCTCGTCGCCAACTATAGGCGTGTACCTTGGCCTTTGTGAAGAATGGGCTGAGCATGAAGCCAAACATGACCAGCGACCACCCGTACAAGATGTAGATGATGTAGATGTAGATGTTTTCGGAGTACGGGAACAGTTTGCTGAAGTACATGATGCCGATGCAGATACTGGCCACGGCGAACACGTAGACAGCGTATACCAGAAACCAGGCGGTCCTGAAGACAGAGCCCGGACATGACAGACAGCGCATATCAGGAGCCAGAGGTTCATGGAATAAACAGCTGGCCTGGACCGCCTTGGTGGCAGGGCCTGCAAATGACGGCGGTGCTGAACTCCTGAAGCCATAAGCTCCTGAGCTCCTGTCTCTAGCCAGGGGCAGGACTGACATAAAGTCCACGGGCTGACACCACGTCCACGGCTGACGCCGCGTCCACGGGCTGACACCACGTCGACGGCTGACGCCATCCACGGCTGGCACCGTGTCTACGGCTGACAGCGCGCGTCTACGGTTTTTTCTGGATTTAGCTCAATAGCGGGGGGATGGAACTAATGTTGGGAAGGCTGGACCCTGTCGCCCCCCCCCCCCCCCCCCCCAACTGAAAAGACAACTATATACTGGTGTGTTGTGTTAACCAACAAGAATCACTGGTCACGACACACCGACTGGTTTCACGGCGCACAACTAATGGCGTTCTGGCAAATAAATGTGTCGGTAAAAGGAAATCATACCAATGAACACTACTAGCGTGGAAATGAAAAGTTCCGGGATTGTATTCAGTGCACATGTCCCATGGTAGGGTAACGAAGATGACAGCTTTCAAGCAGTGCAACATGCATACGAGTGCAAGATCCGCAATTTGAAACATTTCTGGGTTCCACACAACAATCGTCGGAGACGGTGAATGCAAATTTGAGTCACCGACGTCGATGTCTCAAGGTGCCTGTCACTCAGGCCCTGCCCATGAAACGATACGAATATCTGCTAAGTCATACCTCAAATAATGCCGCGCACCTGATAGCCTATCTGGAGGGACACCCAAGGGCCCTGCCAAGCGCGTGCGTCCCTGACGAGTAATGGATCGCCAGCCTCGTGAAGGAGTGAGAATGACGCAGCAGCGTGCAACATTATCTTTAGTGTTGCCACTATGGATAGATAAATCAGGTCTGATGGCACAATGGTACTCGATCCCTTCCAGTATTGCAGCACACCACACACGACGAGTGGGTCATATCAGGTGTCCTGACTTGGGGCCATGAGAGCCCTTTGTCACGGGTCCTGAGGTTATCCAAGAACAGGCGGCAGCAGGTCCCGTGCCCAATATTCATAGATTAAACTCGGCCGCATCGACGCACGGGCCAGCAGCGCCAGCAGACGCCGACAACAGCATGTCATCAATGCACCTGAATGACGTGGGTTTGACGGGCGGGCTCAGCAGGCACGTCAGCCCTCATACGAGATGGCGGTGACTACTGACCAGTACACGGAGTCCCTGAGCCCCATCAGCTTCAGCCCGTCCTTCAGCTTGGCCTCCTTCTCCCCGACGATTAGCGTCAGCAGGTAGGTGATGAACTGCGACAGCGAGATGGCCATGTAGAGAGGCACGAAGATCTTCAGGAAGGAGGCGCTACCTGGAAGCGGCCGGGCGGACCGTCAGTCGCCGGCGGCCGCCGCCAGCTGACGGCCGGCCGCCACGGTACGGACGGTGCGCCACCGCCGGACGGAACCGCTCACGCCACAGCCCGGGGCCACGGCGGCCGGCCGCGACACGCCGGCATCGGCTGGATGGAGAACCGAGCGCTGCATACCGCCGCGTCCGGTCTAGCCCCTCGCCTGGTCCGGGGTTCGACCACAAGGTTACCGAAGTCGCAGGCTTTTTTTGTATGCCGTAGCCACGATTTCCTGCATCATTTTTTTTTTTTATGTAGGACGGCCTATCGTCCAATACAGATTAGTCAAGGAGGTTAGAGCACGGACATTCCCGCCCATGAACCAGGCTGAAAGTTGGTTGTTCGCATGCTTCTCACGTGTAAAGCCTGCTTTAAAAAAGCACAAACCTCAAGACGCAAAATCGCATTGCCTCCGTGTGGCGAATTTGGTCGTTTGCTGTGATGGAACCCAACAGGCCAGTCTTACTTCATTTTGTGAAGGTGACTTTTGGCGGAGCGTACACACAAGTACAGTTGGGGCAAATATCTTCAAGCTGTTAAAAGCTAATCCCGAGTGGAAATGGCAGCTTACTTGAATTACTTTGTGGTCTTTTAAAGCCATCATCGCCAAGTGGTCCTGGCGGATGTGGTCCATAGCTGCTATGCAGTTTTATGGGGTCAGAAATAAATAAGATTATGTTGATCATGTTGCTTCGCACGACGTCGTTGAGCTTATCGATGGCACTACAGACAATTACTGGTCCCAACCTTTCATTTCAGCAGGTGTTAAAGGAAGTGTTCCACATTTTCATGTGGTTTTTAGCCTAAATAGCCTTCTTGAGACCGTTCACTGCTGTTCACAATCCTGCCCTTCTTAAGACTTAGGCCCTTCTAGTTTCTGAGCTAAACGCTTGCGAAAATGGGGGAAGGTATACCGGGGAGAGTATTTCAAAGTCACCCTGGCTTTCATGACGCATAATCGCGTCATTTGCATCTTGCCATTCCATAAGCCATGCATCTATCAAGGCCGAAAATGGCATTGTCAAGTCGTTCATATCTGGCGTCGGTGAGCACAATTTCCAGATATAACAGGCATCAACTGGATTTCTATCAATGTTGTGCACGGTACGATGACGTAATCAGCCCATGCCGCGTTGAGGAGCATTTTAACTAAACAGAGAATGGTGCTGTCTAAAGCTGTCGTTTCCACTCAAAAAGTGTACCAATAGTTATAACTGAGCTTGTTTCATCACGTATTATACTTGTTTCAACATCTTCAACTGTGAAACATCCCCTTTAGTACAGGGCACCAAAGGTGAAATCATGCCTTATCCCCTCAATCCCCCCTCCCTATTCTCCTATCCCTCAAATCACGTGGGAGTAAACAGTGCGTTGCCCCCCTTCCCTGACAGGGGCCCGTGCTGGGTCCCATGACAGGGTCGGCCGAGTCGCTGCCGGTACCTGGACGGCATCGCTCCGGTGGGCGCCGGCGGTACGTGGAGTGTGAGCCCCCCCCCCCCCTCCCCCTCCCGCCCTCATACCGGTATCGACGACCATGTGTTACAAACCCCGTGCCAGGGTCGGGTATTATCTGAGCCTGTGCCGCCGGCCGGCAGGTGGGTCGATTGATTGCGAAGCCGGAGCCCGGCGGCGTATGGAGCGAGCCGCCGCCGCTGCCGCCGCCGCCGCTGAGCGGTCCCCGCAGGTCAGCTGATCACGACACACCGCTGGCGGCCGGGCGGACCGACAACGGCCACGGCCGGCACCAGGCGGACCGACACCAACCGCGGCCGGCACCAGGCGCACCGATGCCAGCCACGGCCGGCACCAGGCGGACCGACATCAGACACGGTCGGCACCAGCCGGACCGACACCAACCGCGGCCGGCACCAGGCGCACCGACGCCAGCTACGGCCGGCACCAGGCGGACCGACATCAGCCACGACCGGCACCAGGCGGACCGACATCAGCCACGGTCGGCACCAGGCGGACCGATGCCAGCTACGGCCGGCACCAGGCAGACCGATGCCAGCCACGGCCGGCACCAGGCGCACCGACGCCAGCTACGGCCGGCACTAGGCGGACCGACATCAGCCACGGCCGGCACCAGCCACGGTCGGCACCAGGCGGACTGATGCCAGCCACGGCCGGCACCAGGCGGACCGATACCAACCACGGTCGGCACCAGGCGCACCGACGCCAGCCACGGCCGGCACCAGGCGGACCGATGCCAGCCACGGCCGGCATCAGGCGGCCAGAAGGGCGGGACGGGTCCACGCGGCCAGCAGCAGAGGAGGAGCGGGGAGCAGACAGTGACCCCCCCCCCCCCTCCTCCAAACGGGAGCCGCGGGCACCCACCGCCAGCCGCCTCCTTCTTCGGACCGTCCTGCATAGTCATGTTGGTAGGCAACGTTGTCTGGTTTGTTTGCATCTGAAACAGGCCCACGCATTATAAACAACGCTTCAGTAGACGTAATTCGCAGGGAAAGTAGTGGCTCAAACTCACATAATTCAAAAGTGAAAAGTTGTGGCCGGTCGAAGCTTACGTCTGGGGGTTGTGGGGGTACGCAGAGATAATATGGACTACGCAGTCAGTAAAGTCGTGCAAAAATCGGTCAATCCATCAAAACATATGCACATTGTAGTCACAATGACGAACAGGATTTAGGATCTCATGAAGGTTGAAAGGAAATGTAGCTGATGTCACATATGACTTCAAAAAATTGGTACCACGACTTTTCGGTGCATTCATTATGCCGAATGAAAGCTGTCGCGCCTGTCCATATATAGTGAGTAATGGTTGTGGTATGATGAACAGCATACCCGAGGTGCATTTGGAAGACAAAATACCAGCATCAGGTGAAAGTTGTTTACCCAATTTCGTTGTTGCAAGCTATGATATCAACGTTACCGTAACTAAATCGAAGCCACATGGTTGGTTGCATTCCTTCTCTTCTCAGTTTGCAGCTAGCGATAGGTGGGCACTTCCCCTCCCATTTCGCAGAGGTGCCCCCCACCCCCGCCCAGTTTGCGGGACCCCCTCCCCACCTCCTACCGTTTCCCGCGGAAGGTCGGCCGGCCGGCCGCCGCGTACCTCGATCAGCAGAGCGTCGATGGAGTTCTGCAGGGTGAGGAAGCCGCTGTAGTAGTACTGGTTGGCGGGGCAGCCGGCGCCGAGCTCGAGTGGGCCATCAGCGCCGTCGGTGCCGGCGGCGCGGCAGGCGCCGTCGCCGGCCCAGCGAGCCGTCGGCAGTCCCAGTCGCCAGTCGAGCCGCAGCGTGTAGGTCAGGTTGTGGCCGGGCCGCTCGGGCAGCACCAGTCCGGCCACCATCTGAGGCGGCGGCTGTTGGCTGATGGCCTCCAGCTCCGCCTCCGTCGTCAGCATCCGCAGCGCCGCCAGCGGCACCTCCTGCGCCGCCAGCGAGCTGTTGAGCCGGTGCGCCAGCTGCCGCTGCGGCTCGCCGTCCGGCACGACGTAGAGCACCAGCGGCGACAGCGCGTCGACCTCGAGCACCGAGGCGGAGCCCTGCGGCGCCTCCACCGGCGCGTACCGAGTCTCGGGCTGCACGGCGCGCACGATTGCCAGGATGGCGAAGATGTAGATCGGCATGAAGATCTCCTGCGGAGGCGGGCCACCGGGTGAGGCCGGTGACCGCGCGGAGGAGGTGCCTCCCGCCCACCTGCCCTCCCACCCACGCGTGTCGGTGGTACTTGAAAGGTCGCGCCGTGAGTGGCAAGTAGTTCCGGTAAAAATGGCACAGGTTGCAACTTGACTTCAAAAACACAATTCACATGCAGAATGACACGTATTTTGTAAACTTGCATTTTCCTCTCTAGCATGATCGATTTGGCAACGGTATCTCATTTTGATCGTAACGACCTACCGCCAGCTGCCGAAATCCCCAACACACAGCTCCCAGCAGCCATCCGCGCACCAACACAGAAGTACCGGCTATGTCCAACAATCCAGGACGAACCAGATCAAGCGGCATTCCCAGCGGGCTCGACACACTTGCTTTCCACCTCAATCACGCGTAATATCATCGCATCAGAGTTCGCTAAGCTGTCACGGCTCCGTGAGGTCGATGCCTGGGGTCGCGCCCACACGGTGTCGGGGGGTAGCACTACCTCTCTCCCCCCCCCTCCCCCCCGCATGCGTGATGTGGTAAACCTACTCTCATATCTAGTTCTGTCTTGGCCCAAACATAACTACCAATAAGGTGCCTTTTGAGAAAAAAGACGGCAAATTGCCCCAGCACTATTAATGGTATGCAGTTTGATATTGTTAGGCTAACTGGCGCTGTGCGTGCGTTGCCGGTTCATGTTTTAAGATCCCGACTGATAATTCATGCCTGGCGGTCCGGGTCTGAAGATCCTGGCAGCTAGAACCTGCCTGGCCATGTACCAGCTAACGGCGTGATACCGATTCGGGCGCGATGTATTTGTAGCCCAAATTCCGTCACTGTCGGTCTGTACATAAATGTCAGTGTCTGAGTGCCCGTGTCTGATAGCCCATGTCTACCAGTCAGTGTCTGTCGGCCGGCGGAACGGCACGTGTCTGGCGGTCAGTGTCTTACAGCCCGCGGCGAGCAGTGCCTGACATTGCCGCCGAACAGCCCACGGTGCCTGCCAGCGTCTGCCGTTCCATGTCCGCTGCGCGGCGGCCTGCTTACCGCGGCGGTGCGGCGCTTCTGTCGCCTTTTGATGGTGATATTCCGTCGCACGGCGGCCTTCAGCTGGTCCCACCAGGGGCGCCGGCCGCCGCGGCCCGCCGCCATCGCCGTCTGTGGCCTCCCCGGCTCCGGCCTGCCACCCAGCAGCTGACGGCACTCGCTCGCTGTCGGCGGGAGGGCGGCGTCAGCAGAAGCGGCGTGAGGGGGCCGGCGTCAGCAGGACCGCTCGGCGTGCGCACTGGACTGCCGCACCGCGACGGCGCGGGAAGCAGTCGGCTGGTGCCGTGCTGCGTGCTGTCTGGCGGGTGCGACGCTGAGGTGTGTGCCGACCCACCGGCCCTTCACAGCCAGCCTCAGCCGGTCGGCGCCGATAACGATAACAGCCGAGTTCGACGCAGTCGCCAGGTCAGGCGTCTGACGTCACCGCCGACATATGTGGCTGGCTCCGACGTCTGACGTCACTATCGATGCCACTCGGCTGTGACTGGCTCCGTCGTCTGACGTCACTAGCCGCGCGTATTGGAAAACATGACACGTTACGTCAATAGTCGCACATCTCGGACGTCAAAACGCCCCACGCGTGCCCAAGATTCGTCATCTTCATCCACTGCGACAAATCTTTCAAGTGCTGAAACGTTCGCGCGTGAGCGCATACAGAAATTATTAATAATGCAACGATAAATTATCAAACTAACATTCATATAACAGGGGAAAGTGGGAGCATGTAGGTTGTCCAGAATCAACATTCCTTGTCTGTGCTATGGGTACTTTTCGTATCTTTGACGTCATGTGTGTTTACGAACTTATGGAATACCGGTAATCAGTCATTACCATCCAGCCTTACATCTTGAAGTCCCCCGTGAGCTGAAGTCCTGCCTTAATCACAGCACACAAGGCTGGAGTATGAAATCACAGCTATGGCAGGCAAAAAATACTGAGCCATTGGTTCTGTGCAAGCGATATGAAAACACATACATCGAAGTCCCACACGGGCGAGGTGGCAGCGGCCGCCATGTTCGGACACATGCCAAATGTTCAAGTGAACTTTTGCCGCGCAGCTGCAATGGACAGTAGAGTGGTGGCAAATATATGTGAAGGTCGATACATATGTAAGATGCTTAACGCTGACAAGATGACATGTAACTGTAGCAGTGTGCTTATTACACTGAACGATACCGGGTACATGCTACCAAAGAGAGTGTGCTAATACCCATCGTTCAGGCTCTTGCAGGGCATCGTGAGATACCGCGTGTCAGTTTGTGGCAGGGTGTCAATTTTTGTAAATTATTGGGGGGACGAACCGAAGGCCCGCTAGCCTACTCCCCCCCCCCTCATTTCTCTCATCGGACTTAGCCCACTTTATTTTGATTAAACGGAGTATATGTTTTTGATCATTGTATAATTAATAAGTATTTAATTAAAGCAGTATAGAAGTCATGCAGGGTTAGATCCAGGGAGTAGACACTGGACGCACGCGTCTCTTCTGATCGACGCATGAAGGCGCCCTTTAGAAGACACATTAGGGTGCCGATGGCCCTCGTCTATGGAGGTCATGGGCGGCGACACGCCCCTCAGTTGTGGGGACGGGGCCGGGGTTAGCCATGGAGGACTTAGGTCACCCCCATATTCCAGAGTTTTTACTTTGGCCTCACAAACCATTGCGTGTCTTATGGCGCTAGGTATGTGAAGTTTATTGCATCGTTTATTCGCTCAACTGTTCCATTTGTTTTATTTGCATCTGCTGTTGAGAGCATCCGTATCATCTGTTTCATTTGTATCTGTTGAGAGCAATCATGATTTTTCGTTATGAGAGTGGTACGAGACCCCACTACGCCAAAAGATCAAAGAAGATCGCATTTATGCTATGATCATCTTTTACCCATGTTTTTTGAAGTATTCCAACCAAAACAATGGGGGGGGCAAGCCAATATCGGGGGGCCCAACTCAACAATAGGGGGAGGGGGCGGGGCAGGGCCCTAACAAAAGAATACAAATTGACACCCGTGATGGTACATGCGGCGAGACCCACGTACACCGTTAACACAAGCTTTTCAACTCTGATGCGCGTGTTTTCTGCGGAAGGCGGAAGACACGCGCACAAGGTACAGAGCACGATCACGCATCGGACGTGTTTCGCGATTTGAAATGGCTCAGTGCTTCCCAGCTGGTGGCTTACGGCCGCTCGCATACAATGCACAGTGCACTAGTCTTGTGGCCGCCTGCGTACAACGCACAGTGCACTAGTCTTGTGGCCGCCTGCGTACAATGCACAGTGCACTAGTCTTGTGGCCGCCTGCGTACAACGCACAGTGCACTAGTCTTGTGGCCGCTTGCGTACAATGCACAGTGCACTACTCGCCGGGCAGGCCGACAAGCTCGTAGACACCCTCAGACACACAGCCGACCAGACGCACGCACGCCGCAAGTTATGTTTCTGAAACCACGCTCCCTTGTATGCGGACCGAAGCGGGCCGCCGCTAGCTATGCAGTGAGACTGTTCAAGATTGCAGCCAACCTACCGCCATGGGGCAAGGCACTGGCTTGACGTCAGATGGCGCAACATTTCGCGCGACCGAGACATGAAGGGTGGGTTTGGAACCACCCATGCAAGTAATCCATACCGCCGACGTCATCATGACGTCATACCACGTAGATTCTGCGCATTCCGGTTTTCGCAGAGACTTGGACGATAAGCATCTGAGGCATCAGGCATAAGCTTGATTCATTCAGGCACGCAATCCACCAAGGAAACGTCGTTGAATACTGGCACCCCGTTATCCACGCGGCGCTCAAGACCAGGCAGAACTCGACCGTCGAGTCGTTCACATCTGGCATTCGTGAGCAAGGTTTCCAGACAAAATGTATTTCAACCTGCTCTCGATCAATGTTTTGCAAACAATGCAAGATCTAAACACGATCACGTTTTGTGTCGCATAATATAAGAAGCTGGATATAGGCACTAGACATTATGGAAATCAATCTTGCAGGCGAAGAGATTGCGTTGCTGGGCTGCTAGTTCTGCGATCTACCGAATGTTAACAACATATGCCGCTACCGGTGCGTAACGGGACGGACGACGATGAAATTGTATTACAAAGCGCCTCGGCTGGCGGGGTAGCAGCGAAGTCGTAAGAATTCTTGAAGCCAGCTCGAAGACCAGAGGCCGCCGTTTCCCATGATGTGGACTGATAGGCACGGCACGCTGATGCGACCCCCTCCCCCCCCCCCCCCCCTCCGGCTGTGCCTTAAGGGGAATGTTTTACATTTGGAGATACCAAAGCAGGCACTAGATATAATGAAACAAGCCCATTTATAACTGTCCGTACACTTTTTGGCGAAAAAGACTACCCTAGACAGCACAATTATCTCTTTAGTAAATATGCTCGTCAATGCGTCATGGTTTCATGTCATTGCACCATGCACAACATTGAGAGCCAATTGACGGCCGTTATATCTGGAAATTGCGCTAACGAACACCAGGTATGAACGCCTCGACAATTATATTTTTCTTGGTCTTGATCATCGAATGACTTATAAAACGGTAGGCTTTGAATGGCGTTATTATAACGCACCGGACGCTCAAGGTGACTTTAAAATACCCTCCCCGATACACCGTCCATAATTTTTGCGGGCGTGTGCCTCAGAAACTAGAGGGGTTTAGGTCTTAAGACGGACAGGATTGTGAACAGCACCGAAAGGTCTTCAAGACTACTATTCCAGTTAAAAACCCCATAGCTGTGAGACACTCCCTCTAAGAAAAATAGAACCTAGAAGAAAACACCGGTGTGTTTGTTTCAACGAGATCTCACGATTGGTAACTGTTTTGTCAGCTCGTGTTCGTGTTCGACGTGTCACGACGCGTTCCATGTTCAACGCTGAGTACGGTGGTGTGCACGTTTTGTGTTTTTAGCATATATTTATTATCTATGGCTGCGTTAATGTGCCCGCTCGCTGCGCACGGTTCGCAGAATCGTCAGTTGACGCCTGCCGCCCGCGCCAGGTGTAGATGCTGTGCAGCACTCCACGGTCAGCCGAGCACGGGTGTTTTATGTGGAACAATGACGACACTCGCCAGTGCTGGGTGGAAAGAGGAGGCGGGGGCGGGAGCGTAAGAGAGCCGATGTTTATAGTGCAGTCGGAGGAAGGCTGAAAAATATTTCCTCGATTTATTTTGGCGAATTTTGTTTTACCTATCCTCATTGTGCTGTGCTGTGCTACCCTCTTATTTTCTGTTCTGCCATGTGATCTCCAGTCCTGTCATGACTTATCTCGTCTCCTGTTTCGCCCAGTCATCACCTGCCCTGTGTTATTATGTTCCCCTTTATCCTGTCCTACCACGTCTTCTCTCATCCTGTCTTGCGCGCTATCAGCCTGTTCTATCTTCTTACCTCACATCCTCCATCTCCGTGCGCTAACCAGTGTTTTCCATCCTCTTACCTCCCATCATCCATCTTCAGTCTTCTGACTGCCACGTCATGCCCAATGATAGCGGAGCCTCTATGAAGGTTGAGGGACGGAAAAGGCGATTTTTGCCCCGTTCCTTATGTGTACCTTATGCCAACGTGTGTGATTTTGTCTTCCGCAAAATTTTATGTGGAGTGCCTGTTTTTTTTAAGTCTTCCACTTCAACATGTCATTTTCAGGTCAGGTTGCCTCTTGATTCTGGTTTCACCGCTCCAATCCTGATTTGTCCCCGCGATCTCAGCGACGCCATCACGCCCATGCTCAAGAAAGCCAGAACAATATTATAATATCTTTTCTTAATCATGTAGTCCAATATCATTGAACATCTGGAATAAGACGCAATTCAAACCCCAATTTTTTCGGCATTTTGGCCTCAAAATTCAGTTAACGATCTTCAACATCCCGGGATATGCTGGTTAATGGGAATGTTCCACATTTGAAGATGTCAAGGCAAGAATCAGATATGAAACAAGCGCACGCAAAATTATTGGAGTACTTTTAAATGCAACGAGCTGCTCTAGTCAAAAAAAAAAATTATTTCGTAAATGTGTCCCTCGATACTAAATGATTTGATTACGTCATGCACCGTTCGCGTGCTGTTGAGGTGCTGCCAAACTAACCATGTAAACTTGCAACCATGGCATTCACGTTCAGTACTCTTACTCGCCAGGAAATGGCAGTCGCGGCACTGGTTTTGTTG